TACTGCTTACTTGCTACTGGGGACCAAGAGGCATGCGGTTACAGGTCTCATTATCCTATAACACATCATACTCAACTGGCATCTGAGACCTTGAAAGAACTCCGATTAAATATCGTTTCAAAATGATCAACTTTTCATTAACATCGTTTCAGTGTCATTTACTTAGAGTGTATCAACTACATACGCTCGGCAGCGTATAACTGGATAAAGCATGGCCACTGTCAAGAATGGGCAAACTAATAAATGGGGAAGCAGAGATATAATGTAGAGCAATTGTCATGTTCATTAGTTACCACCACAGGCAATATTTGGATATAATAAGCAGTTAAGAATATCATGTGGATAGACAATCAGGATAGAACCTCACTACAGACCTGATAAGAATGCTATTAGGAAGTCATTCCTTATTCATTCAGCTAACTTCATTGAACCACTTGAGTTAATACATGGGTTCAAAAGGAATGATCACTATGTACGTAAATCTGAAAAAAAAAAACATTCTGAACATGCAACTGCAAGTACATTATTGCCAGCCTTTTGGGATGAGCTAAAAAAGCCTACAGAATTCCAAAGCAGAAACTCTTATTGTGATCGAAAATAATAAGGCTAATTTCAAGTCAGTTGCAGCTGGAGTTATCAAATTTCAATTAGTATTTGTTATTTGGAGATAAGAAAAAGAATCAGACTAATCTTTATTATATCAAGTATTTATAAGAGAATTTTGAATTTTACGAATACCAATTTCTAACAAAACCATTTGTAAAAAGAAGTGTGCAAAGAATTAAACATATTTGCATGATATACCTGTCTTCAGGCACACATAGGCCAATTTACTTATTTTCATTTTAATTAACAGGGAATTTGTTTCCAACACTGGAAACAAAATATATTTGTTCCTGTGGTTAATACAGTTGTGAATTATATATAAACAATTTTTGAAATAAACAGAAGAAAATAAAGAAGCATAGACATTTCTAGATCAAACAAGGTCTTAAAAGCTAATGACTTTCTCATCTTTCAGCCTGAATTTGACTACAGGATCATTCTGCATTGTCATAAAGCTCTTTCCTTGAAGACCTTAAACTGCCATGATAATATCCAATTGACAGCATTCCAATACTATAAGAACTATAAGATTCAAATTATTCCAATTGTGTTGTGGATTGTCACAAAGCAAAAAAAAAAAAAAAACTTAACAGGCACAATTTGCCCAAGCCACATAGAATGGATTTAATGTACCATAAATTCTCACTTGCTCCCAATATTAAGGCCAACATTAATCACTAGTATTTTCAAATAGATAGTTAATATTTTCTGCATCATAAATCCCTGAAGGAAGTTTTCCCACTTTAAATGGCATCAAAATCTCATTTTACATTCTCTACCAAAGGCAATGAAGAACTAGGGCTTTTGGGGCGATTCAAATTGCAAATTTGAACTTTGCTGGGGACTGAAGGATCCATATATGCCAACTATAAACTTTCCTTCATATTTCAGCTAATACTTTAAGACCAATTAAGCAAGGTAAACTTTTAACCCTCTACTGCCTGAAATACCAATTCATGAAGAAATGTTTCAAATTTCAATTTCAAATTAAAAAAATATAACATATTCCTCGGGCCCGGGGGGAACATTTGACCAGAAGTCAATAATATAGCATACGTATATATGTTGCTCAAAAGGAACATCAGGCACACAGTTAAAATATTACATGTTATATTCCACTATGATCAGGATTCTTCAAAGTGAGAACAAATAATGAATGAGGTAATGAAAAAATGTATTGAAGTCAACAACTAAAAATTATCCTGTCATTTTTATTTATGTTATTTCTCTCTGACCATCACTGTCCATGGCTGATTCCTGTATTTTCATTGTAGTTTGAAAGCTTCCCTTTTTTTTGGTAATTAAAATAAGTATGGTTAAAAATATCAGAAAATAAAGAGTAAAAATTTTGATGTATTTTCTAAGTATGTTTTCAAATTATATACTATTGACTTTATAGGTACCACACATTGCAGTATTTCATGGAATAATAATTAAAAATTTATACATTTTATCATATAAAAATGATTGATTCATCCAAAAATGAAGTCATATATTGTATTGTTTCTCATAAATGTTGTACACAATACAATCTCATGACGGATGTTCACTCTCAGAGACAGACAATAAACTAAGTACAGTGGAGTGCCTGGTGTTCCCTCTCATTGACATACAATAAAATGTATAAAACAAATTCATTACAGACTTGGAGGAGAAATTAAAGATATCAAACATGACCTTGATGCATAAGAACAGCATAGAAAAAAATAACAGCAATGTAGTTACCATTGCTTTTGTGAATCAGTTGAAGATGACAAACCAGAGCAATATTGCAATAATAAGCCTATATCCCTAAAAGAATACATTGCCAGTGAGCACAAAATGACTTACACTGATGGTTGCTGCTGTGAACAACTTCAAGATGTTCTCTGTAGCAGACAACCATCCTCAAGTTTCTGCAGTCAATATTTTACATATAATTTAAATTAAAAATCATGTTCCAAGAGAATGAGATATGGCGGTCTGCGGTAGTGCCAGTAGAGGGTTAAAAATGGTGATCCATGTAATGAGGCATAGAATGTAACTTTTGAGCAGTGACCAAGTAGGTAATATATGAACATTGAACAAGTATATACATATATTTTTTCTCTTGCGATCTGAAATATTGGGCAGAATTTTCCCCAAAAAATTATATAAAAACCATTGTACCTATAATTTGTAGTTTTCAATTTAGATAGACAATTTTCAAAACATTGATGGTGGAATTTAAATTAAAAAAACACCATATTTACACCATGGAAAAATGATGAGTTTTTTTTCTTTGGATTAACTGCATTACCGTTAAATGGGGTTACTTTGACCGGCGGGGTAACTTTGACCACTTTTTGTTTTTTTAACAAAAACCGCCAAAACTCAAAAATGATTCGACATAGAAAAATTTTGTCAATGGCCATCAAAGGCCTAATACTGAGGCTACGTAATACAATAGAAAGATTTTAAAAGTTTGCATATCTAATAGGTTAAAAAATTAAAAATGTGACCCACAAAAAAGAGCTATCATTTAAAGCCTGTCGGAGTACCCCCTGCAATTTTTTCATTTTTTGGTAAAACAACTCCAGGTTTTGATGCATTGTAGTAGAACTCTTCTAGTTACATATGCAAAAGACAACTTTTAGAAAAGTGTCATAGTTTGCAAATGGGGGGCGTCACCCCCCAATGGGGTAACTTTGACCACCTAATGGCAGCCGTGACAGGGTAACATTGACCGGCTTGGAAATTAAGTTATAATTACCATAGGTACCTATATAACATATTTTATGTTTGATACACCTATTAATGTTGTTTTCTTTATGTTCCAGACTCTACAGTCTTATATATGGTAATTTTAACTTAATTCCCAAACTGGTCAATGTTACCCTGTCACAGCTGCCATTAGATGGTCACATTTCGCCCATTTGGGGGCGGCGCTGCGGCGCCCCCATTTGCAAACTATGACACTTTCCTAAAATTTGTCTTTCGCATATGTAACTAGAAGAGTTCTACTACAATGCACCACAAGCTGCCACCCGGAGTTATTTGGAGTTATTTTACTAAAAAATAAAATTGATTTTACCACCCGGTCAAAGAAACCCCAAGAGCTGGGGTAACAAAGACCATCACTTTTTTTTAAATTACATCAAAACTATGAAAGGCAGGAACCAGCAATTTATGGTGAGTAAAGCTAGAGTATAGACCTGTATTTTGCATGTTTCAATTCAAGTTTAACTTATCTAGTAAAAAAATGGCATCATTTTGAAAAAAAGTGGTCAAAGTTACCCCATTTTACGGTACTGCAGGCACAAGCATTTTCATCTTATTTGAAGTTAGCTTCTCCTCAATTTTCCAGAATGGCATCACATAGGATTTAATAATCAAAAACTAGACTTTTCATAAATATTTATTATTTTGCTGATATTTTGGAAGTGATCAAGTTTTAAGGCTGGATTGATTTTCAATAAACAAAGCAACATTCCTTAATTCCAGCCTGCATATACAACCCTGCCAGGCAGCCAGAGTTGTACTTGTACATGTGATGTAAGCCTAAGTATTCACTAATCACTCAGTACAATAAAATAATTGCCCAAGTGACAATTTTTCCCTTCCTGTCTCAACACTCAACACATCACAAGCTTCATCATATTACACATGTGATTGAGTGATTCAAATAGATTATAACTATAAATTCCTTGCTCATTACGCCACATCCTAATAAAAAAATGAAGGCATCTAAATGAAATAGACAGGAAGGTTATTAACAAACCATTTTAAAAATCTTTTATAATCTCATGATTCATGAACAATATAACAAACACTTACTAGAGGTAAATTTTAGACAAAGAAGCCTCACAATGAAGTAATATTTACAACGTCCATAAATTATGAAAAAATAGCCACAGAATAATAATGACTTACCACGGTTAAGCTTTCTAGTTACAAATAACCATTAAAATAGCGTAAAAATAACACTTATTTGCTTTTGTTCACATCGATTGGCGATTATCGAGTTACTGTTGAGGAGTTGAATCGGTTGTTAAAAATTAAAGCGTATGACCCGCAATCCAATACACAAAAATCACAAATATTTCATAGTTTTGTCAATTGTTTTATAATACTGGTATTCAATAGTAATACTTCCTCATAATCATATTTAATAGGCATATTAATTGGGAATGAGAAGAAACCATCACGACCACTACCTCCCACAGCAGGCAAACTGGCACTGGATGGTCGCCATATTGGATTTAGGGCGGGGCCAAGAGAGGGCAATCACAAGGGATAATATTCCCTCTTTCCTTCAATGTTAGAAGCAACATTTTTTTCATATTGACATTGTAAAACATTTATATACAGATCATAATTTATCAATCTACGATTGTTTTGGAAGTGCTCGAGTCCCCGATGTAAGTTCTTTCTCATTTTGTATTATATGATGCTTCTAAACAATATAAACGGCTGTAATATTCCATTTTACATTTTGTAAATTCCATTTTATCATCAGAAATTGCAAAAAGATGATTACCTTATTGCGAGTTTTTTCTTGAATATTAGATGCAGGGAGATCCTTTTTAAGGGTATTTTTAATATTTTAAAGCAATAAGTTGACCAGCCTTCTGCTGATGCCTTTGATGACGGCAGAAAATGTTTGAAATAACAAGTCCATGACTCATGCCTGTATCTTTGAATATAATCCTCCATTGACGAGAAAGTACACATGATGAATTTTTTATATAAGCGTCAGCACATATGGTTATGATTGACAAAGAAGTAGGCAAATTCACTGGTAGCTTGCCACATTTATGTCAAAGCCTTTTTTCGATGGGGTAGATAATGATCCCAAGTAAATTTTCAACGTCAATATTTCTCCTTCCACTTAGGAATATAAACATTTATAGTTCAACGTGAGCTGAACCAATAATACGGCGATACGCTATTTGCAAGTATTGCAGAGTTAATTTTGATATTTTTTAATTAGAGATTTGCATGAGATTATTTCTTTTGCTCCGATAGGGCGACAATGTCGGCTACGATCTTCACCGGTGAAAAATACGTGTTCGTTTGGCGGTTGACTTGTCGGCAACTTCAGACACTCCGAGTTGAACGATTTCCCTGTCGTTTTGTCAGCGGTGGTGACCTTCGAGGAGCTGGAGAAATGAGGGTAATTAAATACAGTTCTCTTTAAAATTTACATTGTACAAATTGTAAAAAGTTATAATGACTGATAGCCCTCAACTGGTGAATTGCCACTCTGATCAATGTAGCATGAATAAGATGTTAAAATTTCATAAGTGTCACCTGTTGAGGAGCACCTTCCTCTTCTGTAGACACATTCTGCTGTAATCGGAGATAGCTCGGCCGTCCAGCTCCTCTACAGGAAAATATTATTATTTGAAATATAGCTGCGGGAGCTCCAGCAAAAGACGTAAAAAACAAATTTTGCCTTTCCATGTGTTTGTAGCGTAAATCATAAAATTGGCAAAGTTAACTCTGCTCTGCTTTACGGTTGCTGTCAGGTCATCGTGGGAATTATGGCGACTGACATCGCAAAAAATCTCTCATAAAGTAGACACTAGAAACCTGTTCCATACTTTCCTCCTAGGAAGATTAATTGGCAAAATTACCAAGGGAGGAGGCCGCCTCTACTACAGCCATCCAGCATTTGGTGTTGCTGGTGACGGGGTTGCCGTGCAGTCGTAGGGTCTTGAGCTTCGGGAGGGACATCAAGACGGTGGAGACGGCATCCAGATCATCTAAATGGTTGTCTGAGCAGTCCAGGTCCTGTGAATAGCATTAATTCAGACATCAGAGCAGTCCAGGACCTATGAATAGTATTAATTCAGACGTATGAGCAGTCCAGGTCTTGACTGTGGAATTAATTAAAAAATCTAATCAGTACAGATCCTGGGTATAGCATTAATTTAGATATATGATATATCAGTAATCCAGGCCCTGTTTGAAGTATCAAGTTAGACATCTGAGCAATTCATAGTCATGTTCAGTCTGCTAAGTTGTTAAGTTAGACGTGACACGATATTTTCAAGCCAAAAATTGTATGCCAAAAAATCTGATAAGTTTGTTGTTGACTTAACCCTTTTCAGCCCCAATTATTTTTTTTCTTGAAATTTCATTTTTTATCAAATTTTTTGTGTTGGCTCTACCTAAGTGATTAGGAAAACGTCTCAGTTTGCTTTTCTCTACAATAGTATTGCTAGAATACGATGTGCCATATATGTACCAATGAGCATATCCAAGTACATTTTTTTGTTGAAAGAAAAAACAAAAGTGTCCGAAATGCACTTATATATTTGTAAATTGACATGTTATATTACAGTTTTAGGATATTGCAAATTTAAAATTAACAATAAAACATAACGTCTTCAATATTTTTTGCAATATTATTCCAAATACTGTAAAATGGCGAAACTAAAACAAATATTTGATCCATCGTTTGAACTACAAATTTTCTAATTAGCGTTACATTGCGTTCAAACACATTATTTCAAGTATCAAATTGTGTTCAAATACATAATACTTTAAGTTGGACTTACATGTAAAAGGTAAAAATCGAGATATTGATCAGAATGTAAATACTCAGAACATATCATTATTTGGTATGAAATGGAAGATTACATGCCAAGCATTACATTTGCAACACTGAACGAAAGGTCTTAGCTTACATCCTTCTCCAGCACATCCTTCTTACATCCTTCTTTTGTTGTCTTGTGTTTCTACAAAATAATGTTTTATTCCATCAAAACGAATATCATCTAACACTCGTTTGTCACCCTTTGTTGAGTAGGATGGCGGCCTCCCAGCTCCTTTCAAAGCTTCTTCTTCTCATAGCCTGAGAGACAGCTTCATTTCTTGTCACAGATGAATTTCTCCAAAACATCCTCCGAGAAGATAAAGGAACGATACCAGACACTATAAAAATTCCAGGGAACACTTTCATTTCATCTTTGCTTACCAAGAAATCTGTTTCACCTTTGAAAGTTGCATAGACAATTGTCTGATCCACTAGCAAATTCCACACATCATCATCAAAAAATAGTTCAAAAAGTTCAACTGGAGTAAAATTTCTATATTTTGCATAATTTGGCTCAGGAAATATTCGGTCACCAGGTGTGAGTGAAGTGCCAAGACTACATTTTGGAGTCTTATAGTTATTGATAGGCGAAGAATTATGAGCCTCACCATCATCTTCAGTAGTACTACGTTCGTCGTGGAAGAAAGCTTCATCAATGCCACTCAGTTGATCTTCACAATCATCTTCAGTCGTACGTCGTCCGTCATTGAATACAGCTTCAGCATTACCAGTCAGTTGTCTGCTGGACAAATTATCTATCAATCCACTATCACTATCCACTTCATCAGCAGAGTCTTCATCAGTCAATAGGCCGGGATCATTAGGCTCAATATAAACGTCTGCGTGGCTCTCATCTTCTTCTAATATACCTAATATCTCATGCATAGCCAGGAATCTGAAGTATGAAACATAGAATGGACTTAGAACATGCTAGAATTTTGATATTCGTAAATATGTGTACTCAGAAAAAATGTACCTGCATTAGCTCAGCGAACCATATGTGGCACAGCAAATATAAAATGATATCCAGAAAAAATAATGCATTAGACAAATGTGAAAGTTAACTAGAGAGGTCAGTTTATTACTTGTTCAACATATGCAGTCACCAAAAGAACCTGGTTCTCAAATAAATGTGCAAAATATACTTACTTTCCCCTGGAAGTCATTATTTTTGGCAGAGCACAGCGGCTCTTCTTTTCAACGCGACAGCAGAGCACAAACTGGCAGGCTTAAGGGGTTGTACTAATATGAACATGTTGTAGCAGGTTTGGTGTGCATTTCCAGTACACTTGTTCAGGCTTGTCTCAACCAAGAGCGATGTATGATGCAATATTACATCATGCTGTTTAATGTACCATATATATGTACCACTGAGCTGAAAAGGGTTAATCAAAGGTATCATTCATATCATTCATTATCATTCTTTGATATATAATCGACGATGAATCATCGAAAGAAACGCGAACACATCATGATGATAAACTCAGTGTCATGACGATTAAGATTCATTGCATTGAGTTATACTGCTGTCATTGATTTCCGACTCACGGACGATAGAAAAAAAACTTAACAAATTGGTAGACTGACTTGTAACTTGTGAAGGCTTGAGAGAGCAGAGATGTCCGTCAAGCGGTTGCCGCTGATGTTCAACTCGGTCAGGCTCTCCTGAAACGAAGGCGAAATCATATATGAGCTAAATTAATTTTAATGAGCTAATCAAAAACTAAACTAATTTTTCACCCAAATAATTTGTTGACCTGACTGTCGCTCACCCCCACGACGGCGATATGCTGGGGGTCCAGCAGCAGAACGTCCCCCCCGCTGGGCGTCTGCCAAGAGACCTGCACGAGCAGAAGTCCTTATGATTACATTACATTACAGAAGTCATTACACCATTCATTACATTACGGAAGTCATTACATCATTCAATTATAAGCAATTAATTATTTTGTATTTTAATTAAAATATGTATATTTTGTTAATATCAACAATAACTGCCTTGCAAATGTAAAAAATCATTCGGTTGTAACAACTTTATTCGCTGGGCAATCGAGACAAGCGACTTCTACAGGATCTAAAAAAAAAAACAAGTAACTTTGAGCGAACCATAAAAAATCCAACGGATATTTCGTTATGAAATCTTGGGGATTATTTAACTCCTTATTAACGTAATTATTAGCCAGATTAATTATTATTATTAAATTACTATTAGCATGATTATCAGACGACCTGAAGGCAGATGAGCGAAGGCGGCAGGCCTTCCAGGACGCTGAGGGCGTTGTGGTTGAGCACCAACACGCGCAGCTGCTGCAACCTCTGCAGACCTGTCAGTCTGTACGTATGATATTGTTCGTATTCAAAGCTTAGAAATATTATATATTATTATATATATATTATTATAATAATATTAAACTCATTATTAGTACATTGAATATTAAACATACTCAATATAATATGTAATAATATTGAAGGCTCTCAGATGAGAATGTACAGTGATAAGTGGACTGTGAGGCTCGTGTCGCATGTCCTCAAGCAAACGTCGAATATGAGCAAATGTGACAGCCGAAGCATAGAAATGTCATCTTAAAATAACTTAAACTTAATTTATTCACAAGAACCGATTATCATCCATTATTTTTAAATAGGAAGCAAGTTTTAATTAAAATATCGAACAATTTTTATCGACGAAGGCTATCGTGGCGCTAAAAAACATCACCAAAATTAAATCAATGTTCAATTCACTATACATAGAACATTTAGCAGAGCAGGATTATAGACGAACATGTATTTTCATATATACAGTACAGGGCTGAACTGCGAAATGTCTATTACTTTTCTGGCAATTATTTCATTTAAGTAACTAAACTGCAAGTAAACATTGATACCTATCAAACTTTTATTTCAATATTGTTGATACAAGCTAGGGCCCATGCGTAAGTGTGTCAGGTGTGGAAGCCATAAAAAAATTCCCACTTACCTGACCTACCTCTGCATATCGTCCGTCTATGCATAAATACTAATAAAAACGTGGAGCACTGGATGTATTTTCTCTTAAATCTATATGGTCCATGCGCTCGATCCTTATCATTGTAACTCTCGCGAGGATGAGGCTGTAACAAAAAACACTCAAATTTTTTCTCAACGTTCAGTGAGTGACTGAGACGGGATGTTTTGTATTGATTGTTTACCTGGTGATGCAGTTGTGCTGCAGGTAGAGTTCCTGCAGGTGCAGGAGGCAGTTCAGGCCGCGCGTACTTTGCAGGAGGTTGTGTTGCAAGAACATGACTCTTGCTTGCAGGAAGGCATCCATTTCTTTCTTCAGGAAGCATAATGAAGCAATATAATAATTATAATGGTGACAGTAGTGATAATAAAGTACTTTTTTCTAAAAATAATAATTATAATAATAGATTATTAATCGACTGCGTTAATCGTTAATTTCGAATATTTGTCTTCATCGAATTACTTTCGAATGATGTCTTCATAGGTCGTAATTTAAGTTTTTTTGTGGTTATTTAGAAGACCGTCAGCATATATTTTCACGTTCAAACTAACATGGAAAAAGTTTAATTAATATTAATAACTTACCAACTCGCTAATTCCTCGTCCTTGGAGATGAACGTGCGTAACTTCAGGTTTAGCAGCGGCTGATTTTCTTACAGGAGCCGCTGATCTGCGCTGCGGGCCGGTGCTCTCTGTGGGCGCCATTGCGTCGCTGAAGTCGTTTATTTGCATAAAAGCTTACTTTTCCCTCTATATTCAGTAACTTTTCTAATTCCTGAGACAACTCACTGGCATTCTTTGCTGGCTAACTTTAACAACTTTCGCGTTCTCCTTGTGTATAATTTGGATTATTATGAAATATTTACTCGTGCAATTTTCTCGTGATTCTCGTCATAGTGTCAAACAGAAACGCTGTTTTTATTATTCTTGTCTTGTTTTCAGCTTTTCTTAGCTGTACCATTTGACCTGAGTACCATGGTATACATAACTTCAGTACTAAGTTCACAAATATTCAGAACTTGATTTACGACGAAGTTTAGACCATGAACTCATATCGCCGACCGGTGCACCGTAACTGTTGTGACGGCAGGCGATGTCCAGACCGCGTGACGTGGCCGTTGCCATGGTGGCGCGAGCGTTTGGTTAGGAGTCGCTAGACGCTGTACGTGTTGCGTCCTTGCTGTAGGTTTTTTCCTCTTCAGATGCAGCCAAGATAGGGTACCGTGCCTCACATATCTGGAGTATGTATGCCTAATGCAGTTTTTGTATTCGTTTATTAATAGTAACACTTGATCCCATTGTCAAAGCGATGACCTTGGGTCAAGCTATCGCTTCCCGGTAAACTTTCTCTACTTCAGGGCTAAGACTGCCTCATGCAAACACTAGTTGACACGCGTTCTGGCCACACATGAGCAGTTTAACATGCAGAAGTTGCATATTAATCAAAATATGAGCACATTTAAAAGTTAATTGTTGGTATTTTTATTACCTTAAAGTAAAACCAAAGCAATGCCAAATTAATTCATCTGGATTATTAAACGATACAAATATATATAATAGTTGATGAAGTAAATTTTCCTGTCTATCGATAAATATTCAGTGAAGTCAAATAATTTTTAACTTTGTAACTTATGTATATGTTATTTTGCGAAATTGTTGATGAATCTGCTGAAGCTTCGACACCCTCGGCCGCTGAGGCTGCAAACTGAAAAAAAAAATGATTCGCCGATGTATTTTCTATTTTACTATTTATTAGTCCGTTGGTCTCATCTGCGTGGTCAGGAAACTCGTGCAAGTTGTGCAGGGTACAGCTGCGTGCACTGCACAGAACACTGCTTCTGCAGCCTTACAAAATATGCCTTTTTCGTCAGAATTCCTAGTTTTGGGCCGTTTTCTTATCAGTTGGCCGTTTAAGCCCTCTTTAGAAAATTGTTCCTGCTGAATTTTACTGTGGCAATTTAGGTTTAACAGTAGAATGTAGACTACATATTCCTCTTTTTTATGTGGAAGTTTTTATTTAAATCCAATTATCGAATTTGGTCCGTTCATTGCATTTTCTTATCTCATTTGGCCGCTTTATTTGGCTACCATCTGGTAACTCTAGTTCACTCTCAGTTGTATTCTACTCAGCAGGCAGCAGTCAGTCAGAGTCAACTCAGTTGCTCACGCTCAGTGCTATGTTAGCCGCACGTGAGGGAGGTCGGGCTAGGCGCTCACTCGGTTGTTGTGAAGTGTACTAGAATTTCTTTCTTCGTCAGCTGACGGAAACAATGGCATTGGCATCGCAGCACGAAAGTACAATAGATACAGCTAACTTAGAACGTTCCTCATATTCGATGGCGTCTAACTGTAAAGCTGTACGTATTGCTGACTTGATTTATTTAGCTGAAACAAGAGATTTCCAAAGGTGTTTAGAAGGGTTACGTAATGCGTACATGAATTTAGGTTTGAGTTTTGACGATACTCTATCTGTAATAAAGAAAATAGTAGAAAAGGTTCGAGAAGATGTGAAGGACTGTTTGAGCAGTATTGCTCATGATCCAATAGTCTGTAGTGGTTGCTACAGCTTCATGTTTGAAGCTGTAACGTTCCCGTGTGGCCATACATCCTGTGGCAACTGTTCAAAAGCAGCATGTCTGTTGTGCTCCGAACGCTTCCAATGTAACGAACGCCAGAAAAACATAGTGATTGCTTTAGTGGTAAAACATTTCTGGTCTAATGAATGTCAAGGAATAGTTCTGCGTAATGCTGGAAGTGATAAACTGAAACATAAACTATATCGAGAAGCAGTTGATTTGTATGATCAGTCTCTGACAAAATGTGAGTAATTTCAACGTGCCGCCAATTTTTGTTCATTTACATCTGCTTTGAAATTAGTTATCTTAGTTCTATTAAGACAAGTTTCCATACGATTGAATTTAACCTAATTTTTATGGAGTAGTTTTAGGATTTTACCTAAGAAAGAATTTATGAATGCTGCCTCGTTGTGCGTTTAGTTTAGTCGTGTCCGTGAAGTGAAGAAAGACATGGGTCACTCATCACTGTTCCCGACCCTAGGCTAGCATGCAACATGACTGTCCTGTGGACTGTCCTCAGGGGTCAGGGCTCAGTGTCCTGTGAATCGCAACTTGAAATAATGACGCCAGTAACGTCATAAATTTTGTTTTAATAGTTATTAATTAAACTTAAAGGCTTAAAGCTGCTGGTCTATTGAAAAATGTTAATTATGGCATAATAAGTAATTTATACCAATATGTGTTTAACTTTAATCTGGAACTTCCAAGTTTCTATACCAATGATATAAACATCAGTTATTTTATTGATTTAAATAGATTATTAGGCTCCATCCTTCTTGGATTTGTAGTAATGATTCGGATATCTTACGCTTTATGTATCCAAGTTCGTATGTGTAGCATTATTTAAATTATTTAAATGCACATAGTACAAGGAATTTTTAATTTTTAACTAATTATTTAGAGAAGAAAACTCGTTACCTGATTTTTTCTACAATTTAAACAGAAAATGATATTCCAGCACGCCATTCTTTTCATCGATCATTTCGAACTATCATCAAGTAGTACTGCTATAGTATTTTCAACTAGTATCAGCAACCCCTCAAATACTCGTTTGATCGCTAATGCTTGTAAACAAAGTATTATTGGAATACAAATGATCAATATTCATTCCAGTTGATAACTAACTCGTAACTTTTACTCCGCAGCTTACCTAACAAACGAAAAAATCGTATTCACGAACTTCTAACTTGTACTGTGCGTTTACGTAACCAACGAAAAAATCGTATTCACGAACTTCTAACTTGTACTGTGCGTTCACGTAACCAACGAAAAAATAGTATTCACGAACTTCTAACTTTTACTGTGCGTTTACGTAACCAACGAAAAAATAGTATTCACGAACTTCTAACTTGTACTGTGCGTTTACGTAACAAACGAAAAAATCGTATTCACGAACTTCTAACTTTTACTGTGCGTTTACGTAACCAACGAAAAAATAGTATTCACGAACTTCTAACTTGTACTGTGCGTTTACGTAACAAACGAAAAAATCGTATTCACGAACTTCTAACTTGTACTGTGCGTTTACGTAACAAACGAAAAATCGTATTCACGAACTTCTAACTTGTACTGTGCGTTTACGTAACAAACGAAAAAATCGTATTCACGAACTTCTAACTTGTACTGTGCGTTTACGTAACAAACGAAAAAATCGTATTCACGAACTTCTAACTTGTACTGTGCGTTTACGTGACAAACGAAAATATTCGTAATCAAGAATTTCTAGCTTGTACCTTGAATTTACGTAACAAATGCTATGAACGCTCAGATTCTAAATTTCGCGCTCAAGTGTCGGCTAAAGACCTTGCTTGATCCTCCCCTCGCCCCCCACGCAACTTCCCCTCGCTCCCCACGCAACTTCCCCTCGCCCCCCACGCGCCTCGTCATCTTGCCTCCCTCATCACTTTCCCCCTCTCCCCGTCACACCTCTCTCCTCGCCTCCTCTCGCCTCGTCCGGTTTTACGCCTCGTCCCTTTGCCCCCCTCACGCATCGTCCCTTCGCCGCCGCCCTCCCCCCTCCCTCGCCTCGTCATCTTGCCCCCTCATCCCTTTGATCCTAGCCCAGTTACACCTCCCTTTTCGCCCCCTCACTCCTCGTTCCTTTGCCCCTCCCTTCACACCTCGTCCCTTCTCCGTCTCCCCCACGCTTCCATAGGTTAGGTTCTCCCCTCGCCTCCCCCATGCATTCCCCCCTAGTGCCGTCACACCCCCTCCTCCGCTCCTGGCCCCCTCTCACCCCTCGTCCCTTCGCCGCCTCCCTCACGCCTCCTCAGGTTAGGTTAGGTTAGGTTCTCTCCTCGCCTCGCTCACGCCTCCTCAGGTTAGGTTAGGTTAGCCGCAGCACCGCCTGGCTCTTCACGCGTTACGTAACGGTTATGCAACGCGCTCTACGTTGCTGGGTGAAATTATAGAAACGGTTGTTCATATATTCATTATATATAAAGCCTGGCAGCTTGCTCAGTTCCAAAAATATCCCCTGAGTTATATAAGGAAACTCTAGTTTGAGTATTTTGATCCAATATAAATGGTGTGCCTGTTCAAATAAAGCCCATCCTGAATTCGGCCCTAACTGTACACTGCATTCTTTTTGTGTCGTAGCTTTGGCTTCGGACATGTTATCTATACTAAAAATTAATGTTTTTCTGTCATTCAATAACTTGATGTATTATTACCGAAATAATGATGACATCAATATAGGAGAGCGAGTGATGTAGGCTTTGTACACAACTACAGCAGCTGCGGCGTAGGCTTTCCCTACTGCACATCCTTGCGATCACGTCTAAAAAAAACTAATTTTATGCTTCGTATCCTATATACCGTACTCTCATACTGGGAAAATTAGTTTTGTGCGTCACGTAACTTTTTATGAAATAAGATGAGACCAATAATTTTTTTGCTTTGATTCGAAAATAATGAACATTTTCTACTTAATTTTAACGTGATGTTACTGTTATTAGCATTTTATTTCGCGCAAAATACTTCAATTGACGCCACGTCATATTATATATATATAATTTTTTTTATTATATATATAATTTTGTTATGCTCACCTCCACTTGGATGGAGCGCCGCTTTGATGCCTGAGCAGCACTCGTGTGCTGATAAGGTTTGAGAAGTCATAAGCTTTAAGATGTCATCGGACAAGTACAGAAGAATATGAAGCTTTTATGTCTTCCATGGCATAATCGCTGGTAAATTAATGACATGAAATTTGGCTGTTCAATTTCAGTGAAATTCGATTGCTTACTCATGACCTAAATTCGTTCATTTGCCTAGTTTGTAAACAAATTTAAAACAAATGTACATTCTGATGAATTTATTTGACATGTTCATCACCATAATTCCTGATAACATCACGATATCATCTACATTTTCAGTTATGGTTGCACTTATCTCAAAGATTGGTTATATAACGAGAAAGCAAAACTATAGCCAAGCATTTAAATGAAGCCCTGCGTTAAAAACACGCAGGGCAGCTAGGAGCAGCTGGCGCTCACCGACGAGATTACGTAACACGATTATCTGTGTTGTCGCTTCACTAGCGATAAGCTGTCAGGATACGATCTTCAGCTACGATTAACCCTTTACGCCCTGAATTTCTGGGATGAAAATCGTAAAATTCACTTTTTCGGTTTTAAGTCTCACTTCAAAGCTGACATTCTGACCTATCCAACGGTACCAAAATCGTCTCTGTACGTTGATTTATGCCTTGACGACAGTTCGTGAAAGGGTTAGGGGTGGGGGAAAATAAATCTAAGACTTTTTTTATTCATGTGAATTTTTCGAAAAAATGACAGAAAACGTGAAATTGTTGGAAAACCGAGGTTTTTTCTGTGTGACGAATTCGTCACGCCAGGGCGTAAAGGGTTAAACGATCAAGGGGACAGTAACAACGTATGTACAGGGTTTAGATTTGTATTCTTATATTAATAATTTATCTCTGCAAATTTACGTGGATTTGCTCATGGTTTTCCATGCCGCGCCCCATATAAGGACTCATATTCATTGTCTATATCATTGTCCATGTCATTATCGATATCATTGTCCGTGTCATTGTCCATATCATTGGCGATCTGCCATACTTCGTTGTATCAGCAACTACCGTTACATAACCGAGAGCGATATAACGCGTGAGATTTTCTGGTTACGTAACGAACGATTAGATGTTCTTGAAGGTTCGGTGCAACGCGGCAATTTCGCTCCATGCTGATTGTGTAGCTAATTTTAAAATCAATATTGACCTTGGAGTTTGATGTTGTGTCGGGTCTAAATTTGTGGCCGAGTTAGCCACAGGCGCCGAGTAGCCTTTGTACACTTAACTGAAAGACGTTAAACTCCTGATATTTCGCGCCTTTAATGAAACATTACTTGTTAAATATTTGTACTGATGAATACAATTGCTTGATGCTTGAAGTGGTTGCTGCTTGAAGTGGTTGATGCTTGAAGTCGTTGATGCTTGAAGTCGTTGATGCTTGAAGTGGTTTATGCTTGAAGTGGTTGATGCTTGAAGTCGTTGATGCTTGAAGTGGTTGATGCTTGAAGTGGTTGATGCTTGAAGTGGTTGATGGTTGGAGTGGTTGATGCTTGAAGTGGTTGATGCTTGAAGTGGTTGATGGTTGGAGTGGTTGATGCTTGAAGTGGTTGATGGTTGGAGTGGTTGATTCTTGAAGTGGTTGATGTTTGAAGTCGTTGATGCTTGACATGTTTGATGCTTGATACGTTTGATGCCTGACATGTTTGATGCCTGACATGTTTGATGCATGACATGTTATATGCTTTATGTGCTTGATAATCGATGTGTTTGTTATACTGTGTTGTTTGACGTGTTTGACCATTAATATTGTTTGACGTGTTTGATGCGTGCAGATCCAGGTGACCACATCGCGCTGGCCAACAGGGCGCACGCGCTGCTGTGTCTGGGCCGCCCTGCCGAGGCGCTCGCCGACGCTGACGCTGCCATCGCCAGCTGCCCGCTGTGGGCCAGAGGTGGGTCATGGGGGTGTCTGGTGGGTCATGGGGGCGTCTGGTGGGTCATGGGGGCGTCTGGTGGGTCATGGGGGCGTCTGGTGGGTCATAGGGGGCGCCTGGATAAGCCNATTCACTGGGATTACCCAGCAACTCATGAGCTTGCTGTGATAATTGCTGAAATAGTTTGTTAGTTAAAGAATGGCAAATATACGTGAGTACTTTCTGAATATTTCCGTTGTCTGTTGTGTATATTTTCCTCTTTCTGTAATCAATAAAGATTGTGTTGATGGTATAATTGATAAGTTCTCGGAGGCGAAGACAGTTAATGGTGGCACACGACAATACATAATTTGCAATTCCGGATGAAGTTTAATAATTTTATTTGCTTGTCTTGAAAATGGCGCCCATCTATACTGCACTTTTATTTGAATGTATGTCGTTATTCCGACGAACATCTTACGTCGTATATATTGTTTTTTGGAATGTACGACGATACATAACGTGTCATGCGGCCTTGAGCGTTCGTAGTACGTGGAATGCACGAAGCAGCGACGAGAATACGACACTTCCACCTTTTATTATTTTGATCCTTCAATAACATGTTATCTACTTGAGGGAACCTGTCTCTTATACACATCTAGATGTGTATAAGAGACAGTACTTACGCTCTATTTTCTTGACTATGATAGGTGGGCTTTGCTTGAAAGGCCGTCATGGGGGCGTCTGGTGGGTCATGGGGGCGTCTGGTGGGTCATAGGGGGCGCCTGGATAAGCCTTACTGATAGAGGCGTGTGTCGTGATGCGAAGCTCTGGGGCCATACTTTCAAAACTGGCTAAGTGAACGTAAGTACTTACGCTCTATTTTCTTGACTATGATAGGTGGGCTTTGCTTGAAAGGCCGTCAATGATTGGCTGATGAACTTACGATCTCTTAACTTTTTTTGAAAGTATGGAGCCACTGGACTCTAGGTGGTCCGTACTCCGTACTAATTTGTGCGAATATCGTGGTTTGAGGTTCTTGCTATATATACCTGCAAAATCGCGTGTCGTAATGTAAAAATCGTATCTTGTTGATGAATAATTAACTGGCGTGTGTCGAAATAAGTGCATGATGGACGTGTGCAGCGTTTTGCCGTTTGTAAATCAGCTAATTAACCGTAATTGCTCTAAATGAACTGCTATCTCCGCTGAACTCAAGAAATATGTTAATTTTATACCTGCGCAGTGGCTGTAATAATTTCAGGCAAATTGGTTTGTATTTTCTAGATAACGTGTTTAACCAATAACTGTTGCAAATCAGCTTGGACCTTCACCAAATTCGAGAAATTTGTTAATTTTACAACTGCGCAGTAGGTACGTAGCTGTGATAATTCCAGGATCGTGTGTTCAGTCATTTTTGGAATTATTGAATTAACCGATAACTGTCACAAATGAAGTTGGGTACCAAACAAACTCGAGAAATATGGTAATTTTACACTTGCGCGATGGCTGCAAAATTTTCATCTATGTAAAGTGAGCTCTCAGTGCACAATTATGGAGTCGGAAATTTCACAGCCAATTTTACCTTAGATAACGAAGACTTGAGTGCAGGTGCACCTTATCAAGATTGCCGCAACCTCATTGAGAGATTTCGGGTCATTGATGTTATAGCAGCATTGTGTTACAGCAGCATTGATGTTACACGATCAGTCACTATAGCGTAACCTTGGCATACTATAAACATAACGTCATGTGATTTAAGAAGTGACACACCCAGTTGCCTTCATATTGTTCTCATAAAAATCGTCTCTGGTTTGTGCACAATTCAAGCTTTGAAGTTCATTCATTATTATGAAGCGGAATGCTTAGTCAGATCCAAATTTGGTGGTGTGTCAGCCCAGTAACTCATGGGAATCATTATAAAGTTATGCAAGTTGTGGCTTTAATAGTACCTATTTATCATTAGCCCTATTGTTGGTAATCATTAAATAGTAGGCTGTTACATCCGATGTTTCTACACATTTTGTCGCCATTCATTCGTCACACAAGTGCCCTTGAACGCTTGCTTAGCACTGGCCTGCTTGCGATTGTTACGAAGGTTATTTACCTGCTTACGATTGTTATAAAATGTAGGTTTGACTATGTTTGTGTGTTTGTGCTCAGGTTTGACTATGTTTGTGCCCAGGTTTGACTATGTTTGTTTGTGCGCAGGTTTGACTATGTTTGTTTGTACGCAGGCTTGACTATGTTTGTGCGCAGGCTTGACTATGTTTGTGCGCAGGCTTGACTATGTTTGTGTGTTTGTGCGCTGTTTTGACTATGTTTGTTTGTGCGCTGTTTTGACTATGTTTGTTTGTGCGCAGGTTTGACTATGTTTGTTTGTACGCAGGTTTGACTATGTTTGTGCGCAGGCTTGACTATGTTTGTGCGCAGGCTTGACTATGTTTGTGTGTTTGTGCGCTGTTTTGACTATGTTTGTTGTGCGCTGTTTTGACTATGTTTGTTTGTGCGCAGGTTTGACTATGTTTGTTTGTGCGCAGGTTTGACTATGTTTGTTTGTGCGCAGGTTTGACTATGTTTGTTTGTGCACAGGTTTGACTACCGTATGTTTGTGCGCTGGTTTGACTATGTTAGTGTGTTTGTGCGCAAGTTTGGCTATGTTTGTTTGTGCGCTGGTTTGAGTATGTTAGTGTGTTTGTGCGCAAGTTTGACTATGTTTGTTTGTGCGCAGGCTTGACTATGTTTGTGCGCAGGTTTGACTATGTGTGTTTGTGCGCAGGTCACGCACGACGCAGCAGTGCACTACAGGCCCTCGGCAGGGCAGAGGAAGCGTGCGCTGCCTTGCTGCTCTGTACCGCCATCTGCGAGGACCAGGCATCCCTTCAGTTCACGGAGGACCTGGCCAACGTGAGATAATTTTATTAGTTTAAATGCGCTCAGAACTGTGAAGTTCAGAAAGTTCGTATTTAATTAAATTTGCAGAGGTCGTTCAAACTCCTTCAGAACTGAAGTTCAGTAAGTATACATTTAATTAAAGTTTCAGAATATACATTTAATTAAAGTTTCAGAAGCCGTTCAAACGCGCCCACAACTGAAGTTCAGAACATTTGCATACAACTTAAATTTGCAAAGGCTGATTGAACGCGCTCAGGACCTTGCTCTTGGTAGCACATTTTCTTATCATTGAGATTTTGGAGAAAGCGACTTGGATGAGTTGTTTTCAGCTTTGTGAATGTCAAATCTTTAGCAGGTGGACGAGAAATTTGAATTTCCGAGGCTGGTGCGAGCTTATATGACTAATTCTAATATAGATGTAATCACGCGCATTTTCCGCGATTTCGCTCATTGCAGGAAGTAATTCATAGTTAGATAATTGTTCTATTATGGTCACTTCCTCTGTGAAAATTTATATTCTGTTGAACGCGTGCAAATTTATTGAAAAACTAATTTCGGGATAATGAGTAGCAGCTTATTAATTATTTCAATGATATCGAAAGACCAATGATATCCTTGCCTAAGCCGCAACTTTGTTAAGACGCTTAGATTTAAATTATTGGGCGAAGTAGAGCGTGGTGTTGTGTGCGGAACGATGGCACCATACCATAACGATGGCACCATACCATAACGATGGCACCATACCATAACGATGGCACCATACCATAACGATGGCACCATACCATAACGATGGTGGCATCATACCATAACGATGGCACCATACCATAACGATGGCACCATACCATAACGATAACACCATGTCAGGTAACCTGACAGCCACAAGGTTGACTGCTATGTTAGTTGAATGATGAATTAGATACAGTATTCACTTATTCCCGATTGCGATGACGTCATCATCGAGTGATTCCTTATCTTCTCATGGCATCTTTGTTGCTATTCCTAAGGGGAAACATTTCTACCTGCTTGTGCATGCCGATAATTCCACCAGCCTCAGATGACTGTTCGCTCTGATTATGTATCTAATATTAAGTTCCCTTTTTGAGTGCGTAGTTCAGTTCTTTACCTCTTATGCTCCCATCTTAAATTTATGCCGCAGCTAGAGCTTTGACTCATGTTACAGATGGTGCACCGTCTCCTGGTGGGTGAAAGCAAACGAAACAAGTCGCGGCGCCAGACCTCACTTCTTCACGAGTCTTCCTCTACCGCCACGTCTTCCCCCGAGCATCTGCCGAGAGATGGCTTTCTTTTCGCGTCAGGTTTTGCCTCCTCTTCCTCCACCTCCGCGATGGACACATCTGACCCACTTGGCCATCACACGTCTGACTCACTTGGCCATCATACGTCAGACTCACTTGGCCATCACACGTCTGACCCACTTAGCCGGCCTGCCTCTGGGTCCGGGCACTTCAAGAAGATCTGGAAGGAACTGTCGCTGCGGACCTCCGACCAGCCGCCGCGCCCTCACTTCCTGAGGAACGTCCTTGCGCGGTACACCACCGGCATCGAGGCTATCAGGGGTGAGTTGTGTGGATGAAGGACTAATCGCGGAGAGGTTGAGTATATCCGCGGTAAGTTATTTGCACGAGGGGCACTCTTTATTTCACGGCCCTGTAACTGGTTTATAAGCTTAAGATGTTTCACGTCAGTGCTGTGCTTTCGCGGACATCAATTTTCAGTCAACCAATTGTGTTTTACCGCGTGAAGGTATTCCAAAATTATGGCGGGTCTTCATTCCAAAACACTTGAGTATGTGCTATTTTAACCTCATTTTAGACACAAATTTGTATGCTCAAAGAATAAAAAATTTTTAGTTGCAGATCTTATTTGTGTTTGTGGTTATGTTGGCAGAAAACTGCCATGCATCGCACACGAAGCTGCCTGTAAATCACGACCTCAAGCCCGACGACCTGGAGTGCAGCTTGTGCATGAGGCTCTTGTGGCAGCCTGTGAGCACCCCCTGCGGCCACACCTTCTGCCTCAGCTGCCTCAACCGCTCCCTCGACCACAGACCTTCTTGTCCTCTATGCAAGGCTTCATTGGTGAAGGTAATCACATGATCTTATCATGTGATTAAGATTGATTTAAAGTTAGGTTACATGATCTCTTATGATCATCAGTCATGGTAAGCAAATGACCGCGATCTCATGATGAGTTATGATTAGCTGTCTCGACCACAGGCCTTCTAAATTGTAGCGTAAATGTTTGATTGATCTGCACCCCCAATATCAAATTATTTGAATATGTTTAGTATTCAAAGCGTTTCCCGATTGCGTATGATGGTTGGATTTTTCCTGCTCATTGAAACGGATTGAAGAGATCTTTCAGCGATGCAGTAATGTGGCAGAGATGTTGCAATTCGGCTTACAGTTAGTTGCTCACGTCGCATCTATCCAACTACATCTATCTCATCAGTGAGCTTTCTGCTGATTTTTGCCCCTGAGACGACACATTTTTCAACAGATTCTGGCGGACCGACGCTTCTTGCAATGCGATTTTGTAGACGCCATCACACGGAGGGTTTTTCCTGAAGAGTTTGCCGTAAGAGAAAAGCAGATGCAAACGGAGCTTGACACGCTGTCCGAGGCAGGGCGGGACCCCAACTGCCCTATCCCTATCTTCGTGGCCACGGTGGCTCTTCCCTTTGTACCTTGCCCGTTACATGTGTTCGAGCCGCGATACAAACTCATGATCAGGCGCTGCATGGAGTCGGGCACGCGTGAGTTCGGCATGTGCGGACCTGTTGACAATTTCGGATATTACGACTACGGCACAACGCTTGAGATCAGAGACATCCGCTACCTTCCAGACGGCAGGTCTGTCCTCAACACCGTGGGCAAGAGACGCTTCAAGGTGGTGCAGAGGAGCGAGAGGGACGGCTACAATGTCGCCACTGTACAGTTTGTCGAGGTAATTTGTCCAAATTTTTTGATTCGAACCTTGGACATCTTCAAGTTTAGCCTCTTATCGGAGGAGACAGAATTCACATATTTTTTCACCCGTAAGGTAGAGTTTATATTATTTTCTCTTTTGAAGTTTCACGCAGCACAAATATTCGGGAAACACGCATCAGCTTGATACATTTTTTTATGTTTCACTGCAAGGAGTCGCGACAACGTGAAAACTCGTGTGAATAACGATAGCGAACAGCTGTGCCATAGATGACATGACCTGTCGTCTCTATAGAATCATTGCTTGGGTGCTATTCATGTCGATAAATTTGCCTTATCATTTTACCCAAGGTATTATTTCCATATAATATTGTGAATATATGCCAACCAAACAGTTGTACCTCTACAAAATATTTATTTCAATTTTATTCATTTTACTTTTTATTCAAATTTATTTTATGCTTTTAATTTTCTCTACTGTAACATCAAACAATTGCTTAAATTAATTATATGGGTTATGTATATTCAAAGTAAACATTTTCCTAGGATGACACGTCGTTGCCGATGGACGAGACGAAGAAGCTACACGACCAAGTGCGGCGCAACGTTGAGACGTGGCTCGGCCGCATGCCGGCGGCAGCGCGGAGGCAGATCTTTGATTGTTACGGCGAGATGCCGGCCGTCGAGCTCAACTATTGGACCAAACCACACGGTCCAGACTGGTTGTGGTGGCTGGCTAGCGTCCTGCCCATACACCACCTCACCAAGGTGCGTCGTGTATCCTTATTTACCTCAGTGTTCTGCCCATACCTCAGCAAAGTAATATATTTGCCTATGGATGATTGCCTGTTATGTTACGTAACTATCCGCTAGTTCAATCATCCACGCTTCCATGTGATCATGAACAGACAAATGGTCCTGATGCTGGTGCCTGTTTTGCAGTACTCGCTCCTGGGGATGGTGCAGCTCAGGCAGCGCATCCTGCTGCTGCAGCAGAACCTCTTGCGCTTCCTTAAGGATACCTGGAGGATGGAGGTGCCCAAACCGTGACTAAATGGAGGTGCTCAAGCCGGGACTAGATGAAGGTGCTCAAGCTGGGACTAGTAGAAGGTGCCAAACCTCAACTAGATGAAGGTGCCCAAACCGTGACTAAATGGAGATGCTCAGGCCGTACTAGATGAAGCTGCCCAAGCCGTGACTAGATGAAGGTGCCCAAACCGTGACTAAATGGAGATGCCCAAACCGTGACTAAATAGAGATGCTCAGGCCGTACTAGATGAAGCTGCCCAAGCCGTAACTTGATGAAGGTGCTCAAGGCGTAACTGGATGAAGGTGCCGGCCTTCTCACTGCTCCTCGCCTTCTGAGACTACAGGTCACTTTGCAACCCACGCGATATTACCTGTTTTTTTTTTTTTTTTTGCTTCTGCGGTTGGCAACTGTGACTGCGTCTTACTTTCTTCCCATATTAACCAAATATTATAGGCTAACTTAGAAATGAATGAGAGAGACGAACGACTATGGTTGGGATATTGAGTGTTATACACTAGTGACGTGTTTTCCTTTGGACCTAAACAGGTAGTTTGTTTCCGCTGCATCAGACAAGCATTGATGCAAACGATGCTGAAATATTGACTGCCGCACATACAATACGGAGACGGTAAACCCCATTCGGCTTTGGAACGTATATTTTATAGCTTTCCTCTGCCCCTTTCATTTGTTGTGGTTAACTGAAAAAATTTATTTATGATATAACTGGAAAAAAATTGTTTATGATATTTTGTTATTTATATTTAAATGAAAAACAACCGTACAGTTTTCGGCTAGGAAAGAATAACGCAATCGGTGTACAGAGAGCAGCGCATTCACTGGGATTACCCAGCAACTCATGAGCTTGCTGTGATAATTGCTGAAATAGTTTGTTAGTTAAAGAATGGCAAATATACGTGAGTACTTTCTGAATATTTCCGTTGTCTGTTGTGTATATTTTCCTCTTTCTGTAATCAATAAAGATTGTGTTGATGGTATAATTGATAAGTTCTCGGAGGCGAAGACAGTTAATGGTGGCACACGACAATACATAATTTGCAATTCCGGATGAAGTTTAATAATTTTATTTGCTTGTCTTGAAAATGGCGCCCATCTATACTGCACTTTTATTTGAATGTATGTCGTTATTCCGACGAACATCTTACGTCGTATATATTGTTTTTTGGAATGTACGACGATACATAACGTGTCATGCGGCCTTGAGCGTTCGTAGTACGTGGAATGCACGAAGCAGCGACGAGAATACGACACTTCCACCTTTTATTATTTTGATCCTTCAATAACATGTTATCTACTTGAGGGAACAGGGCAACATGTTGAAGAATTTAGAGAATATTTATAACTTATATACGGTTTATGACGGCAGAAGTGTCGGGGCGTCCTAGATAGATAGATGCGCGTTCACACCCTAGGGCATGTTGAAAAAAAGATGTTGCAAAATGCCGCACATGCAATGTTATCAATTACTGCCACAAGGCAGTACGTATGTAAATACGTACACAAATACTGCGTCGCAGTTGCTACGTATGTAAATAGGAGGTGAATGTATGATAACTCAATAACCTTTATATCTTTAATCCTCGCTAGTCTTGCAAATCTTCCTACTTTTATACTATTTTACATAACGAAACAAATCGTTGATATTTACACTTATTTAGTAGTAAAAAGCAGCAGGATTAACGCTTTTCTTTAGCCCTTGCCATTTATTTTTCAAGTGGTTTTCCTCGTCCTTTAACTTACACCTTTATAGATTCCTCAGCTACAGTAAGAGAAATATGTCTAAAACTTTGTCCAAATACCGATGCAATTTTATCCATTGTCTAGGTCATCCTGCCCATGTTGGCCGAGCAAAAGAAGAGCGTATCTATGCTACGTGCAGGAAGCGAGTCACTATTTGAAAGAAATGGCATATTAATTTTCTGCACTGCAGCGGAGTGACAGCGACACTCGAGATGAGAAGAGGTCCAAGCCCTGCAGCCTCCCCTCAATATTTCGTGTTGCTGGTGAGAGTGGCCGTGGGCGGTGCCGAAAACGAGGGTCAGGTTCTTGTAGGATCGTAAATTATGAAAAAGTTCTTACTCGTACACGAGTGAGAGAACCATCTGTAGTAAGGGAAACTTCAACGTTGGTTCTGAATCTATCATCACAATATGGTGACTGTAAATATGGTGGTGTTTTCATTTAAATGCTGTGAAGATTGCGTACTCTTGTCTGCTCACGTTTTATTTATCTATTGTAAATAAATACGATTTCATACCCTAATTCTATGTAGTTTGTAGGCATACTGTTAATGTGTGTGTGTGCGTGGCGCCAGGGGCATAGTTTTTTATCACGATGTTCTTGGCTTTTTCCTCCTTAGGTTTCCTTATGAGCTTCTTAGCAAACGGTTAACAACTTTTCAGCAAGCTTCATGTGTATTTTAACCACTCTCAAGTTGCTTAGATTCAATTCATAATCCTCAGCTGCCAATTGTGTACGTATTGTAGTGCCTAATCAACTTTCCGCCGGTCACTCAATTCATCACCCAATGCTAAGCTAGTTAATTCTTCCACGGATGTTGCCAAAAATATTATATTTGGCTTAGTTAAGACTCACACCCTTCCTGTACCTTCGAAACAATAATTTTAGCCTTGGGTTTTTATTCCCCCAGTCTGGAACCACCAGTTTAGTATTAGGATATCCCTGTTTTTAGCTTAGTTTCCTGGCATTGACGAACCAGTTTTTGTGCGTACCGCGGCTCGGAAATCCCTTCGTCCGACTCGTAGGGTACAGGTGCCGTAAATGCTTACATGCTCGCTCATTCAGGTTCTACATCCAAGCTTTTGGAATTTTTCGATGCACTCGTGCGTCTATGGGCAAATTTTCTTCTAAATTGCTAGCATCTGCCCTTAGATGATTCCATGGGCATTTTTAATCGTGTTTGTCTCGATAAGGAATAACTCACTTTGATGCTCTGAAAGTTTGTATGAATATTTAAGAAATTTATTCTACCTATGAGTGGTCAGTCATTCTCATTGACATGAGACATCGCTATACGGACGAAGCTCGACTAGCATGTCCTGTGCATGCATTCCAGCCTTGCAGGAGACCCCCATTAAATCCTTCGAAGTGAAGCTTGTTTCGTCTCACTCCTTGCAATAATTGTTATAATAAAGCAATTACAAACCCAATGAATTCTGTTTCAATGCTCTTTATGTCATCACAATATTTACAATTTTTTTAGGCTGTTATAATGCACGTTACAACTGAATGTTACAATAACTGTCGTAGACTGTTACAATACATATTATTATATCACAATACAATTCACACTGTTACGATACAGATCATAATGTTACAATACAAATGCTGTACCGTACATATGCTACCGTTACAATGCGCACCCCTTCGTAACATGTATGATGACCGTCACGTAAATTACACATTACTTCTCGCCACGTGAGCAGCGTCTCCCGACTTGCCAGGGAAGAGCCACGTCCACTTATTCAACTCCAGCAAATCAAAGATAATTCAAAGATTCGGTGTTCATTTATCATTGAAGGTTGGGAGCTGGGTTCGAGACGTATTTTGTTAGTTTATCAAGGAAAATGTTCGTGCAGTTTCCAGAGTTGCGGCAAATAGCACTAGGATTTGTTCTGTAGAATTGTTCGCTGAAAATTGTTTGGTAAGATGAAGCGATGTGTTCTGCTTCAATCGTGTTGAACGATCCGACGAAATGAAAGTCCAGGCTGAAAAATTACCTAATAGCGAGCAGTTCTTTATTTGTTTCTCTAACATGTGGCCGCCGGCTCTCAAATTCGATGCAGATCAAAATTTCACGTGGTTTCCATGAAATGACTTCACACTCACTAATTCCGAAGTGCGTGCGAATGATTTATAATTTCATTCGCGTCTAATTTTAACCACCCAATTTATTGCCTGAGTATTGAACCCCACTAATAAATAGATCAAAGTGGATACGGCGTGCAAACTGATTTCCCTTGTGCATACCGGACATGAACGTTGCCCTCGATCAGATCTCGTCACTATAGAACAATCCTATAAAAACCTAGATACGCACCTTTCAGAACACGTTATTACACCTTGCGTGTGGCGTGAAAAAATCGAACTCGGACAAGGACGCTGGGAATCCTGATGCCCGTACGCAGCCGCTGGCCGGGCAAGGAGATCGCGAGGCGCTGCATTTGAGTGTCAGAGTTGGCAGTGGGGCGGTCGTCCTGTGAAAGAATCGGCGACAGGCCACATCAGGCCTACACTTCAGAGCCGACATCACTATGTTATGTTATGTTATGTTATGACATAGAAGTGAGATTTGTGAACGTACACGATTGAGGAAATATCTTACCCGATAGATGCGAGTGGGCACACACATCGACACTCAAAATGGAGAGATCATGATTATTAGATCGTCAGCACTGCTTTCCATCACTGATTTGAATACATTTACATGACTTACCGTCAACATCGATGTATTTTAAACGATAGACTCTTTAAGCTATGGCCCTTTATACTCCTTGCAGTTATCAGACTTGTTATTAACTGTTCAGTGATATCATTTGATCGTTCTCTGTGCAGTGATCTCACTTGTTATAAACTGTGCAGTGATCTATCTGACTTGTTATTAACAGTATAGTGATATTACTTCATATTAACCGTGCAGTGATCTCACTTGTTTGTTCTCTGTGCAGTGATCTCATTTGTTCCAAAACTTAAAATTGAATTCAAACAAGGAATACAGGCAGGGATCGTTGATGTACCGAAAGAAATTAGTTGTCAGTGTTACATTATATTCAATCTCAATAATCTACAATCAACGGTATATACTGCCAACCTGCTGACTTGCCGTCCAGCTTCATATTCTTGGTGGCCATTTCCCTCTCGCTAAACCTCCTGTACTTAGTTCTTAGAGAGCCTCTGTTTCTCATTAATCTTTATATCCTCAAGGACGTCTCTATCTAGTCAACCCTCATTTTCTAAAAGACCATCTCCGTTTCATTAGTGTCTGACTTCCTTAGTTTGAGTGGTGGAGTTACAGCTTTAAAGAATCATCTTCTGCAGACATGAAACCCGTAAGTCGATGTTTTGAAGAATACAACTCTGTTTTTCTTCGTCTGTTGATGTTTTACATTTTTTTATAGCAATGAGATTTCATCCTTACATTTGATTCAGCTCGGACTCAAAGCGTTTACCTGGGACGACACTTTTATGACGAGAAAAGTCACCGGTTCTGCATTTTCGTATCTCGCGCCAGTTCGAATATTCCAAACTTTAGCGCGATTCCTTTAAAGATTATAATTTGACTCAAATGGTCATAGAATATATTTTCTTTGTTCAAGCACGTGCTGATAATCTTTTAATTCTCATTATCGGTACAGACTCAAATTGAGTCAGCTTAGACTCTGAAATTAGATAAAGGATGTCCTCAATATATACGTTGCGTCAAGCGCTGAGAAGGGATCTTTGCAGAGAGTATTAATTGCTTACATAAAGCTTTTGCATGGGCGAGCGGCTATCGCCATAAATGTTAAGATTAAAAAGTGAACCATGCAAATATTTAGTACGTGGTCTCAAGTTAATTAACATTTTTCAGTTCAAATAAAATTTACTTGCACATATTTTGCTACCCTTTCTGCCTTTCGCACGTCATTCACATCTTCGACTCCGCGCACTTCATACAATTTTTAATCACCGAAAATGAATGATGATGAGCATTGATTTATTAATATATTACTTGATGAATTATGATTTCTGTGTGTTAATGAAATACTTCATAATTTTAATATTTTATTTAGATTTCAACAATATCTCAGAACACCTCGAAAAGGTAACAGGGAAACGTTGCAGTGAGCTGCTGGAACAATTGAATCTCATTTACAAATATAATGAATACCAAAGCTATTTCTTTATAAATTTATGGTTAAGGATGCGTTCACTTCATACCTTTAGCACAGCGGAGCACGATAAGGAGGATCACTTATTGTAGAAAAAAAGACCTTGGGTACATCCTCGTGCTTCATGAAAAACTAGCACAGTTATTTCTCAACGTTTTTTTATGTTGGCCTTCGGAGCTCAGTTGACACGCCACGAGAACAGCGTGGCTGCAGAGGTGGAGTGTACGAATATGTATGGACCGTATGGGATGTGCCCATGGTTGAATTAATAGTATTAATACTATTAATAATATTAATTCAATCATGGGATGTGCCTGCATGGATCACACTCAGAAAAATTCATGGGACATTCTGTCCAAATACTTACCAATTTTTACCACATAACGCTCATCCGGCTCTGTGCTCGGTTTACTTGGGTCGAGATGACGCATTTATGCAAAAAAGTCATTCGCTGCTCAGATCTCAAGATGCAATGCTTAATTGTCCCTGTGTTGGTCCACAAATTTGTCCAGTTTGCAAAAATTTCATTCTTCCTGTGAGATCTGATCGATGTCAAAGCGCATGTGAGCATAAAGGCTGATGGGAAACTCCATTAAATTTGTTGTAAAACTACAAGAAATGGTTGCAGATGCACAATAATTTGTTTTGACCCGTTAGATTCTTTCTAATAAAATTAAATTTAATTTTAATGAAAAATTACATATGTATTGTAGGTCAGAAGTAAGGAGATTAATTACAGCCAGGATTCATCAATTAACGAAATATTTGGCCGCTAGCGCAGTCGAAATCATCGTCTTTTTCTCCACTCTCCAGGCTTTAAAATACACAAATGAGCACTATAATGATTATATTTAAAAAATTAGACGCATTGTTTGCAGTTTAGATCTTCCCAACTAATGCGGTCCACCGATTCTTATCAGTGTGCGAAAACAAAAACGATTTGAAATGCTATCGGAATTTTTGTCTAGCCATGACGTAATGTATGAAAATGGAAGCAGTGAGCGTACCTACATATCTTGTTGTTTGCACCCGAAAATAAAAGCTCCTCCAATAAACACTTTACACGAAAATAAAAGAAATAGTGGGAAGCGGAGCGCCTCGTATCCGGTACATTCTTCCATTGCGAGTAACGCTAAATTGTAGTCAAGTTGATGCCTTCGGTTTGTGGAAATTTGAGTTTAAATGCAAGTTATGCTTCTAATGTGCGATTTAGGAAGCATACTTTGTGTGTAATACAAATAGTCAAAACCCAATAGGCCTCGGCACTTTGGTTACATTAAGTGATCAGAGATCCAACACATTGGGACGAATATATCTGAATCATTCAGGTCACTAAAAATATTCACGGAATTTAGATTTTAATAAGTGTTATTTTTACAGGTACTCGCGCTACTCGGACTGAGTTTTATGATACTCCAACCCAGCCCCGCCAACTCTCAGCTTGGAACTCTCTTGGGTCTCAAGCTCGGCATCTTTGGAGGGGGAGTGTTAGCGGGCATCGGCCGCGGCATCCGCAACGTTACGAGAAGAAGGCTACAAGATCCTGCGGTGGAACTTATTTCTGTGAGGGCTCCACCCGCCGAGGAAACGGCAAGTGCAGATTATGTGGAACCGACGCGCTTCACCGGAGACTACGACGAAAATTTTGATTATCAAGCAGACGATGACTATCGGTTTGACTACCCGTACTCGACGGCAAACAATCAGACTTTTGAAGACTATACTTTTCCTGAGTTGTCAGGCACAGACGAGACTGATATTCTTCAAGAAGATGTTAGTATCGGGCTTTTAGATCCAAACTCTGAACTTTCTAAACGAGAGCCACCTAAGCCAACTGCCGGCGGGAGCTCCGTGACGACCTCAACAAATGGTGTTGACCGCATAAAACAAGATGATTCGACATTAAATTCAACAATTCGAGGGGGCTTAGGATCTCTGATCAATTCAAATGGAACAGTTCCGTCCAGACTTTCTGTTCCCGATTACAGTACACTGCAAAATGGACCGCAGAGCGAAGGCGGTGCGTCCGCAATCAATTTTCAAGACATATTTTCTGGAATCATACCATTCCCAACTGAAGTACCACCACCCATATACGAGTCAATTCTTTCAAACGATGACCCACAGGAAGACCTTGAAAATCCAGAATATGTTCCCGATACATTAAGTCAAGATACGCCAAACCCGAAGTATGGTTTGGAAGGGGCTTCTCTACGTGATGGTCGACCCCCAGCCAGTTCAACACCACGATCCACTGCTACCACTCCTGCAACCAACACACTAAGAGCGGTTGGACCTGTAAGAATACACCAGGCAAAACTTATCACGAGATACAGTATTTTAACCCCACATCAATTAGTAAGAATTCGTGATACCTCGAGCGAAGGAAGGAGCGTAAGAAACGCAAAGCAACGTTCTGTATTTGCCGTGACAACGGCAAATGCAAATTTGAAGACGGGCTCAGCTACTCGTCCAGTTAATTTACGAAATCTGGCCAGTAAATTACAGACCAACAGTTTTCTTCCAGCCAAAAGTTCCCAGATGAACGTAAACAGGAGAGTTGGAGAGCCAAGCTTTAGACCTACCTCACGTGTTCAAACTAAGTTGGAAGATAACAGATTTCATCAACAAAAGGAAGTCTTATCACAAGATAGCAGAAACGCTACATTGACTGTGCCAAATCTCAACAGATCTTCTTCGGTCAAGATTGCCAGATTTTACGACGGAGATTTGGCCAGTAGAGCTCCTAGGAACAGAAAAGTTTTAAGCGGCCATCTTCCTCGAGGCGTTGGAATAGACGTAAGACAGCGCGATCGCAGCTCTCCAGGAGACCGACACTCAAATAAAAGACCTGCTCTTAATAGGAGAATATAAACAAGTAACGCACCGGCCTTATAGTTATTAATTCACGTTAAGGTAATATATCGATAAGAAATAATATTAGGTTCATTAGTGAGTTGTTACATAAGTACCTAAAATTACTTTACTGTAATTTATAAAAATTAGTTCTGTGCCTGGTCAATCGCTCATTTTTTAAGAATAAACACATATTTATAGATACATAATTTGTATTGCTAGGCGGAAGTCGTTCTTTAATGTTGGTTTTCTTTAAGTCAAGAGAATCAAGAGAATACTTATTGTCAATTTTCTTGCAGTTTTGATTGTTATTGTTTAGATTAACAATAAGAAATTATTATTTGGAACACTCAAGTAAGTGTAGTGGTCTTTAACTAAATCAGCATAATATACATAATTAAATATCGAACACAGAGTTTATGGATGCTGAAAATTTTATCTATCAAGGAGTTACCAATTCCACGTAATTAGATTTTAAGATTGATTACAGTATATATTTTTTTCCATTATAGATTTACCAATAAATCATAAAAAAGTTTCGATGTCAAACAGTTATAACTTGAACAGCTATATATGGGCATTAATTCACACCTTTTGTAGACAATATGCAGAAGTCGCATGTGGTTTCGTAGTTGAGGTTAAACTCATACTTGGCTGCGAACTTTATGCCAATATTACTAGTTAGTTAGTTTAGTGACCCTATGATTACTAGCGCTTCAGCTGATAAGCTATCTCGCGCCGAATGTCACGTTGGGCATTATGGGCTAAGAACATATTGCATCACATGTATTCAGCGTTGACCAGATCATATACAGTCGAACATGTTTATTGCTCTCAGGTACTCTACGAGGCGGTCAACATTATAGCTACCGTGAAAGAGAGCCAGGTCGTTACCAGAAGGGCGTTTTGCCATCTCTGTTAGTCTGGACTCTCCACCCGAGCCACTCGGCCATGATTGCATCTGAGACCGCACAGCCTCGGGTCTCATTGAGACACGCAAGCCCCCCCCCACGACAAGGGCGAGATGGCACGGGGGGCCAATATTACTAATGCTGAGTCATCACTTCCAATAGAAAACACGTGTATACTTAGTTCTTCTGAACAGAAAGTATGTTAACTTGATTTGACTATCCTATTATCGACTTGTATGTTTAATAATTGTGTTCAGTGTTACAGGATTTTTAGTTGATGTTTTAGTTTGGAGGTATAGGTTTGACCATGAACCTCTGTTCGATGATGGGAAGAAATGAGACTGGCTGTCACCGTCGTTGAGGGTCATATACGATGCTGGTTTCAATAAAAAAGTATAGTTTTCTGCGCATGAAACACATGTCGCTGAATAATTTCTGTGCACAAAAGTACCGCCTGAGAATGAAGATAAACAAAAACTTTGAGTTTGAGAAGAATTCCACTCCCAAGATGATTGGGAGAGATAATAATTAATAATGTGTAATTAATAACTAGATAATAACGATGATAATAATTAATGATAATAATTGGTCGGTCTATAATACATAGGCAGGGATTTCAGGGTAAAAAATGTAATATATAATTTTTATTGTCTAATTACGTGGTATTTCATAATCAAAATGATTTGCATTACCTACGACGAATTCGCACATTCAGAGTTATGGCGTTCAGTCCGAGTTATATTCTTTAATGTGCATCTGTTGTGCACTATTATCATGCGATACCTACCTTAATTAATTAAAGTTGTATAGCTTAGTTATATTTGAGGCATTTGTTGCAGAATAAAACTTAAATATTACTTTCACCTTGAACTTTGGTCCTATCAAAACAAAATTGAGGAAGAGGGGTCGGCAAGTTGTTCACAAGCTTCATTTTCAATTTATCAATACTAACCGAGTCCAGTAAAGCAATGTCTAACTGCAATGTTGTCCCGCTTGCGAAGGAGTCCCGAGCTTTGCTCTCGTTCACACTCGACTCCAGCTTCTGCAGTTCCTCGAAACTGGCGGCATGACTCGGTAAACCGGGACTATTCAATATTTCACTTTCGGGTCTCTGCGTGAAGGATCCAGTCACTTCGTGGTGGGAGCTAAAATTTAGACTGGACGACAGTTGTGCGAACGGGTTGTCCGCGTCGTCGTGGGCCACGTAGCTGAACCTGTCATTAATTGGTGACTTGCTTCCTGATGAATCGTGTTTCAGAACCACCGTACTCGTGTTGAGTAACGAAGATTCAGAGATCTTTGCACATGAACTTGTTGCTGAATCGAATACGAAGAGCGGAATTGCCGATATTTCAGATATTCCAGACAAACGTTTTTGCTGAAAAGTTAAAGCCGAATACATATTTTCCGACTGCCCAAGGGGCATGAGAGCATGAATTGCATTGGAGTTTGGAGGGCAAGTCTGTTTCAATTTTGTGCTCCTGATCGATGCGTAAGCGGGTTTGTGCGCATGTAAAAATTTCTGCGATGTTTTCTTCTGATTTGTAGAGGCATTTTCTTCTCGTACTTTAATGAATGATTCCCCTGAGTAAAAGGAAATGCCTTCGGAACTTTCTTCTAAGCTATCAAGGGGCACGAGAGGCTGAGGAATGGGAGTGCTATAGTGGGAGATGATGGCAATGGCTGCTGATGGTTGGAGGAGCGGACGATTGTCTGTGGGCTCAGGGTGACGAAAGTTTTGAAATGAGAACTCGTTGGATGCGGTCAGGCAGGCTTGCTTTGATTTAAACGTCGAGTGAAATGGATGATCATGAAACATCCTCATGGATGACGTTCGAAAACCACTTCCGCCATCCGTCGACCTAGTAATGGATGTAAGGATACACATTTAATTCGAAATTTCTTGAAAATCGAATAAGTATTGAGCGAATGTATAACTCGAAAATAAAGTATTGATGAGATTTACAGATATAAAATTAATAATATGTAAATAGAAAGAAAGTAAGCGTACGCTTTAACTTACCTGCATCGTCCAAGTTGAGATACCCGGGGAGCAGGAGCGTCACGAGCTTTGCGTCGGCCTCCTAGCGTGCTGAACGGTCCCTCTAGCAAACTGCTGTCGTCGCGTCTCCAAGAATTCTCAAAAATGTCTTCTTTAGGAACCTGATGGTATGTTGACCCTGATCTTGTCCGTGGTAAGTGCTGATAAGAGGCCGCGTGTGATCCAGCACTGTCGCCAACACGGATTTCCTCTTCGTCTTCGTTATTACCATCGACTTTAGTCGCGGTGTACGTTAGTGAGTCGTCTAAAAACGACGCATGATGATCCGCCGGTGCACGTCTAATCAAGCTAACTTCATCAATGCAGTTTACTCCCTCCTCCTGAAGAACTTGTCCCCGACCCAAGCTTGAGTAAAGGATGTGTCTATCAGCCAAAGGTAGGTTATTGAGAGGTCCCGAGTAGCTGAAGGCGCTATTTTTGCCCTGTCTCGTGATGGTGGTTAGGACGCTGCCTGACGACGGCGCTGAAGGAGGCAACGTCGATGGACAGAGAGGAAACGGCTGGCAGACTATGGGTGCGCTCACAGTTATTATGGTATCTTCAATTTTCGTATCTTGCCGAGCCTGTTTAAAAAATAGAATTAATATTTTTTTGTTTACAACAAACAAATACAAAGTTATCGATTTTAATTAACTTTTAATAGTATTTTATATTGTTACTTAATGTGTTTTTTAGAAAATGGTAGATTATGGGATCAGAAAAACGGACATCAGCTGGCATTATAATGTTCCTCATAAAACTCCCATTTGTTTGGTTTTCCTGTCAACGTCTTCTAGACTCATTAACACATGCACGAGCGAGTTAACATTCAGATGACTGAAGGATATTAATAAGGATTCTTTCCATACATAACGCTTATTAGAGTTTTCCAATGTTATTTCTCTCCAGCTTTGTTTATGATGAATATTCTAATGACACCATGAAGTCTATAAATAGTTTATAATTTTGGTAGTTGATTTGCAATAGCCTGCCATTTCGATGCCCGAGTTCAGACATTGCACACATTTACGGCCTTATACCACTTACATAAAATGGATAATTTTTGAATATTTTGAATAAAATTTCTTTTATTATGCAGGTTCCTTAATATTAACTGTAAATAACTACACGCTCAGTGCAATCATGCAGGTAACCTATTCAAATGTAAATGCTTTCTCGAGTTCCTCAGCCAATAATATGTTCATGGATCCCTTGACGTTTTAAAGCCTTACGATACGTGTGATCTGAATGATCCTGAGGCCGCATGTGATCTGAATGATCCTGAGGCCGCATGTGATCTGAATGATCCTGAGGCCGCGTGGAATCTGAGTGATCCTGAGGCCGCGTGGGATCTGAATGATCCTGAAGCCGCATGATTTTTACGATTATTATTTCGCATGTTGTCCTTCAGGTAATAAAAAATTAAATTAGGGGCTAGATAATTGAACAAAATTATGCTCCTGCTAATTAAACATCGACTAGCCCGCCGTGACCCAGTAACAACGAAAAAAAAGATGGCAACAAAGCTGAATCACTAATCGAAGCTCTTCAAGTTAAAATTTAATACCTAAATCATTTTTGTCTTGAGTCATAATTACAACTTAATTATACTATAAATATATTATTATATTATATCATTATAATTATAATTGGGTTTAATTATAACCCATTTTACAAAAGCAAATGTTTTGTATTACTTGCTTTCGAATATTAATTCACCGGATGTTTTACTCAAACGGAAAGCGCACACATTTATAATTTTGCATCACGCTTCAGCAATTCTACTACGGACTTCATACTCACATGCCTCTTGTCAATCTCAGGTCTGACGCACTGGAAGTAAGTCCAGATCGCCACGAGGATGAGCAGACTCAACCCACAACCTAGGAACGTCCAAAACAATACCGGGATAGTGGGCATCATTTTTGTTTTCGTGGCGCGATCAAAAACCTTTCACTTGGGTGTTCGTTTCGCGTGTACAACAAAATTGTAATAAAAGAGCTAATTTATCAACACTCGAAAAAAATGCAGGAATTATATTCAATTTAGGACATTTTTCAATATATGGGAAGATGCGTCCTTTGTCTCAACTAAATAAAGTTTGGAAGGACACTGAGGAAGCTCTACTTCCGAAAGCATTCAAATTATACGTTGGTCGATAACGCATTCACGGTGAATGATAACAATGAATGGTTTCCAGATTTGACCCAAAATAAATTTAACGAAGATTGTGGGTATCGCGGAAAGATCTTAAGATAATGCGAAGCGTAATTGGTTGAGGATAAATTAAATCGGTGCGAGTGAAGTCATATCATTGTAAGATGAACTGAATACGATTAGTGTTTACAAGCTAGTTAATACATAAACAACATTTGGAAAAAGCAACTAAAAACCCAAAAACAATAAATAAGTTAGTGGAAACAATTCGTTTATCTACGTAATCGAGAGCGTTGAGTTAAGTTAGGCCTAGCAACGAATGCCAGAAACAGTAAACATTGTCTGAAGTATTATCCTGATTACAATTTCACTATTATTAGTAATATCATAATACATATAAGACTCGTCATACTTTAAAAACATATACAATTTTTAATATTTAGGTTATTAAACTGAGCATATAGGGAATCCTATATAAACTCACTATTCAATGAGTTTATACAGCATACAGAGTTTATAGATTCAACACAGCAAACTCTGCAATTGGATCTAAAAAACTTACCCCGATTGTTGAGAGCTATTCTCCAGGCTACCTCTATGGAAACGTCAAAACTCACAAGGAAGACAACCCACTAAGGCCTATAATCTCGCAAGTTCCTTCACCCGTATACAAGACCTCTAAAGAACTCGACGCCATAATTAAACCATATATATCCCTAAGAAATACTCTCTGAAATCTAGAAATGACTTCTTGGAAATTATTCATGCCTCGCACCCTTCTGGCCTGCTAGCATCGCTGGATGTTACTAGTTTGTTCACTAATGTACCAACCGAAGAAACGTTAGAAATTATCATGAAGCATGTGTATTCGCACGAAACCCTGCCAGCCCCATCTATACCAAAAAAGATCTTAATTGACCTTCTTCGCCTCTGTACATCAGAATCTCCCTTCCGGACTCCTGATAACAAAATTTACCGACAAATTAACGGCCTTGCCATGAGATGCCCTCTAGGTCTAAATTTTGCAGAATTCTACATGCGTGAACTGGAAAATCGAGTGTTACGCAATGCACAGATCAAACCTGAGCTTTACACCTTTACTGAAGATACGTAGATGACATTTTTGTAGTCATTCGAGACGAAGAGCACTTGATCGAACTGCGAAGAGCTTCGGAACATGAATCAGTCTTGAAGTTTACTCATGAAATTGGACAAAATCATAAATTGCCATTCCTAGATATATATAAGTGCGAATTGAAGATAATTCCTTTGTCACTAAATGTTTACCGAAAACCTACCGATGTCGGGAAAGTGCTTAACGAAAAAAGTGAATGCCCTCAGCGCTATAAAACCTGCAGCGCAGTGCGCGCTCTCATCCAAAGAGCATTCAAGACCTGCACATCCGAGAGTAATTTGAAAACCGAACTCAGATCGTTTAAACAAATTCTAGTAAATAATAGGTTTTCAAATAGAACAATTGACACTGAAATTGCAATTACCGATCGAGAGAAAAACGAACCAGCAATGATGTAATATCTAATGGAACCATCACAACGATCTTCTACCAAAACCAGATGAATAGAGGCTATAAGGTGGATGAACGAGTGCTCCAGTCAATTATCCATGATAATACCATGAGCACAACAGATAACGAAAAAATAAAACATCTGATCTACTACAAAAATAAGAAAATTAAAAACCTTGTAATGAACAATAATCCTTGTAAAAAATCCGGACTGCTTCAAGAAACTAATGTTGTTTATAAATTCTCATGTAATAAAGAAGGTGGTAGACTTCTTCAAAATATAAACTACATTGGTCTTACAAGCACGACCTTAAGCCGCCGATTCACATGCCATCTACAATCTGGAGGACCCAAGAACCACATGCGGGAAGCTCACAATGAGACCATCACCCGAGCGACATTGGAGTCCTGCACCAGCATAGTTATGCGGTGCCCTGACCCATCGAGACTGGCGAATGCCGAGGCCCTCATTATCAAGAGCGAGTCTCCAGCTATCAACCTCCAAACTACAGGATTCGTCCGGACGCTGAAATTATTTTCAGAGTAATTTTAAGCTTATACATTTTGTTGTATCCACATTATTTATTTTATTGTATCCACTATACCATTGATATGTACTTCTGTCATTTCCAAAATTGAATTTCAAGTGTTGTAAAACCTTCACCAGCTTGATAATGAAAATTGTATTTTCGAAACGTCGCAATCTATTAAAATGTCATTCGGAAACCTGTTTTTCGATCTCCCGGCTTCAGCTAGAAATTTGGTTCGACTCATTGGAAAGACGAACAAGAAGATTGTTAATAAAAAGCATGCTCTGGTCTTCAATCAAACTTGCATAAAAGAGAAGCTTCTGCCGAACTACACCAATAAACTCATTATTGTGGACAATTGCATTCAATTCAAAATTGCTTCCATTTCCTTTGTAAACATTAATTTTCGAGAAAATGCGCAGCGCCTCTCGGAGACTTGAGAGGCCATGCCGGGATCGTTATTGAAGCCGGGTTAGCTGATATAAGACATCAATTGGCAATTTCAATAGCAAATAGCCCTAATTAAAAACAGATTTAAAGATCCAGCTCTGCGCTCTGAAGTAGTGCCTTACGTTTTCCCAGATGTGCAAACAGATCTTTTTTAATGTACCTATACTTTTCATAGAGAACCACACCGCCAATTATTTAGCTCGACGTGCGTGTTATATGGCTACTAGATTTGCCATAGATTGTTGATTTTTCGTTGTGAAAAATTGAATATCGAATATAACGAAAGTCTATGTACCGGTTGATGTAAGAGGGAGAATTTTAAAATATGGTGATTTCAATGCAGAACAAAATTCGAGTAGCGTTGTTGATATTATTCTGAGGAAAATGTATAACTCCATGACATATCGAATAAACGGAACAATCTTTAGAATGATTCTAAACTCATATATTACAACCACTTTTTATTGCTCATAAGCCATGCAACGACTTACGATGCGCATTTGTTTGAACTTGTATAGATGCCTCTTACCAAGTCTTCGGGAATTTATAACTGGCAGTCAGTTTATTTATGTTGAGACAGAAAGTGTAGGTGTGTCGATTGACGTTCTCCTAACATTCATTGTGCAAATCGATGCTTCGTTATTCAGATAAATTCGACAAAACTTTGAATTTTTTCAATTTTAAATGCCATTAATTCTCTCATATTGCCCTTATATATGCTCGACATTCACCTCGCTGTTTGGTTACTTTGGTAGGGTCGTGTCATGATCTTGGTTGCATCGCTTCTGTAGTTCTGTTTCGTGATTGCAATGTGCACAGCACTGTGAAGCCCGGTAGGCTGTCATTCATTGCACTGAAGATTGAACACTGATTGCGGTATCGAGTATGGCAACTGAATTTTGTGAAGTTATTTCATAAAATTTTTATGGATAAAATTTAATTTTTGTTTTAAAATTTCATTAGATTGTTTAAATTTTTAATTGTGGCTGACTGGCTCTGGCTGTCAATCATTTAGGCCCTAATTTAATGACAAATATCAGCCGTCATTATTGAAGATTTTAAACATGCATCAATATTCCATCATTGTCTAAAATGTCATTTTTGTGTGTGCAAATTAACCCAGTAACTTGCCAGAGTGACTGGCCCTACTGAACTCTACTCCCTACTCCCTAGAATGATCTAGGTCAGTGGTTCCCAAAGTGGGCAATATCGCCCCCCTAGAGACGGTGGAGAGATTTTGGGGGGCGGGCCGGTAAGGAAGAAGAGGACGCTTGGGGGGCGGTAGTTCGAAGTCAAAGTCAGAAGTTCCAACATTTATTTGACGATTTGTACACAACACGTGCAGCACATGACTCCCAGTCCCAGCGATGGTTTTTTCACCCAGATCTGTTTTTTTAACCTCTCCTGGGTTTACGTCTCGGACAAATTAACGGCCGGACTTGCGGCCAATCTTATGGCCAATTTCCAATTCAATGTTCAAGTAATATCTCTCAAACTAATAAACTTAACTCGATGAAACTTGGTACACATATTCATTAGGACCTAATGCCTAATGGTAATGTTAAGCTTGCGAATTTTTTTTATTTTGCCTTCATTTGTTTTTGCCTTAGTTATATGGCAATACGGGCCAAAATTCACAGTACCTGGTATTCAAGAAATTTTTTCCAAACTATTGAGCAGATTCAAACGAAATTTTGAATTTACAGTCCTAACTACCAAACGTTAATGTTTAGCTCATGAAAATGAATTTGATTGGGCCTTTGCTCATGAGTTTTTTTCATTTCACCTTAATTCGTGATTTAAACGGCAATACGTGCTTAAATTTGCAGTAATCAAGAAATTCCTTCCAAAACTACCGAATGGATTTGAACGAAACTTAGTATTTAAATACCTAACCTAGGCAACGGTGATGTTTAGCTTGCTACAATTTTTTTGTTTTGCCTTCGTTAGCGAGTTATACGGCTATACGTATACGGATATACATAAATGGCTCTTGGTTAAACCGGCTGGTAGAAAAGCCGGTCGTTCCTCCTATATCTGTATAACTGGTGAACGAAAGCAAAATAGAAAAATTGTCGCAAGCTAAACATCGCCGTTGAGAGGTTAGGTATTTATATACAAAGTTTCATTGAAATCTGTTCGGTAGTTTAGAAGAAATTTCTTGATCGCCGCGAATTTAAGCGACAAATGATCCGGCGATACAGGCCGAATATAAGGAAGTGTGAAATCAATAATGACTGTGAAATAAAAAAAAAAAACTCCCAAATGAAGGTAAAATCAAAAATTTTTAAAAGCCAAAAAAATCAGTGCTTGGTTTTGGTATTTAGGAATGTATATTCAAAATTTCGTTCAAATCTGTTCAGTAGTTTGGAAGAAATTCTTTAATCACTGCTAATTTCAGCCTTTACCACAATATAACTCATGAATGAAGGTGAAATTTAATTTTTTTACGAGCTAAAAATCAACGTTAGGTTCTGATGAATATATGTTCTAAGTTTCCTTGAGATGCATTTGTTAGTTTGGGAGATATTACTTGATAATTGAATTTGGAGATTGGTCATGCGACTGGCCACGAGTCCGGCCGTGAATTTGCCCGAGACGTCCTAGGTTTCTAGTGCTGAAACAATTAAAATAGCTTAAAAACATATTAATTCATTAAATGGGGTTCTATTTGTGAAATACACATTTGTGTTGAACATTTATCTATTAAAATTGCAGCGTACTAAATTTCAAGAAAGAGGCGTATGTTTTTATATGTGTCTGTGCATGGGGGGCGCTAGACGTTCACTAGGGAGCCAAATGGGGCGCCAGCCTGAAAAGGTTTTTGAACCACTGATCTAGATAGATTGGAATTTTTCTAGCTACTTAGGTATGTACTTATGGATGAAATCTTACAGCTCCAAAGTGACAAATTTTCTAAACTGTTGAAATTTGAAATCTTGTGGCCCAATTGCAGTTGTACACTTTTATTTACAATAATATTAGAGATCATTTATTTTGTAAGAATCTTGCAGCTCTGAAAAAGGCGGGGAAGCTTAGCCATGGCTTAGATCTTGAAAGGTTGATGTATGTACTGTCAAACTGGGTAATAAGGGAGGGGCGGGGTAAATCAGTACAGTCCTCAGCCACTACCATGGCATGAAAATGTTATAGCAGCAAAACTAATTGAAATATTGTAAAACTAAAAATAGTGGTGTAAACAAGAAAATTAATGCATTGTCAGTCATCAAGAAATTGTGCATAGAATGTTAGATAGCTGATAGAATTATGCACCAGGCATTCAGGCAACATTGTAGCTACCAGGGTGCTGAAAGTGGGTGAATATCAAAAGATTATTGGCAACACATCAGCAGCAAAATTTATGCCTTCAGAAGATCTTGCTGACACATTTGGATTGAAATTATTGCATTTTTGAATTACTTTGAAATTATTGCAAATCTGGAAGACTGCAAGCGCACACAGTAAGGTTTCTGGTATGTCGAATGGATCAGGATGCAGTGAACTTGCTTGTCTGGAAATCAGTTGTGATGATGCAGTGCGTGGAGAGTAAGGGATATATTATCAAATTTGTTAACAGCATTTTCTTATTAAAAATTACCTGGCAATGCCATGACGGATCTTGAAAATAGCTGGCGGCGCTTTAGGCTAAAAATCCATATATTGGCAAAATCCATTTTGGGATTTTTGGCAAAAGCCACCCGTGAATCAGACAAAAATGCCCTTTATTCTGGCCAATTTCTTTAGTAAAAAATAAGGATTGTTGACTAGTTTCATGCAGCATGAAACTAGTCAACAATCCTTATTTTGAGCATAAATCATGCTCAATTTTTAAAAATCATTAAGGAAATTATCATTTTACTTGCAATATTTGGAAATGCCTGCACAAGATTCAAATTGGAATGCTTTTATCTCAATTATATAGACAAGAGTTTAATAATTTTATAGACTAGTTGGGAACAATCCTACTTTTTTTCTGAACTATCATAGTGCTGAACTATATCATATATATAGTATAATATTATTTCAGCAAGTATAATATCTTACTGCTTTAATGTAATTTATTTTTATTTGATTGAAAAAATGGCAGTGTACAAATGTGTCATTCTACAAAAATTTTCCCCACATTTCAGTACTATGCTACTGCCAAAATATTCTGCATAGTGAGTAAAGTTGGTAAACCCAAAACATTTTTTGGTGATTGCATAGTTGCAGTCATGTGGGAATAACACATGCCCAGGACTTAGATTTGGTCTGACACATGCATAAATTTGCATAGAGTTGAGGTAACACATGCATGGGACTTTGCAAATGAATTTTTGGCTCCTAATGGTATTTCATTTGCTATATATGGTATTCACAGTTCAAAAACACCAGGGTGGGTGCAGAGTTTGTAAATGCATTGCCAATTTTTGCATTTTTCCTTCAAAAATGTTGCTGACAGTATCAAAGATGTGTGGCCAGCAGTCATCAAGATGCATTACAAGCATAATTTTCATAAAAATTCTTATAAAAAAAAAAATTTGAGGACTGGGAGTTTATCTTTAACACTTTGACTCCATTTGCTTCATCTTGTACTATTGTTTCATTTTTTAATGCTCTTTTTAAACAGTGTTGCCACACGGTCATTTTTTGCGGCCAAATTCCGTGATTTAGTTGTTCTCAATTGTGTTGGCTGGCTAAAAGTTATGATATGGGTACTTCCTAATTAAATTTTAAATACTGCAAAAAGAGAATAAATGGAATTTCTATAGTGGAACCTACAAATAAACTAGTATATTATGAGTTATTGGCCTTTTTGGCCTTTTTTGTTCTTGGATTTTGCCGATTTTAGGCAACCTGAATTATGTACCACTACATCCTGGAGAAATACATTTTGTGGTACGCATATGTACCACTTCGGAGTCAACGTGTTAACACTCCAGGTATTGCAGTACACAATTGAATTGCAACCAGAATTACCAAATTGTGGATCATGCTTTGCAGCCTCATCTGACCAACCAGAAACCAGAAATTTTAAAAACAATGCAGCCACTGGTGGACTTCCTGTTCTGTGGTTAGCATTGCTGAAGATTCACAAACATCTAAAATGCATTAATTTTGCTCCTATGGTGTTGGCAAGATCTTCTGAAAGCATAAATTTTGTTGGTGATTTGTCACCAATGAGCTTCCGATATTCACTCACTTTTTGCACTCTGGCATAGAAATAGAATCAGGGCTTGCAAATCTATCAAATTACTGCTCTAAAAATCCAGTCATGGTTCAGAGTAGGTATAGATTTTCCTCACTAGCTTGCAGAAATCTTGTGGCTCCTAAAATGATGAGAAATATCTAGTCTTAGCGTGAAAAGTGGAATTATTTCATGCCTTTTTACATGTTTGGCATGAAATCTTGAAGGTTTAGATAGGTGATTTTTGGTGAAAAATCTGCAATAATACTGGCAATATTTTGGGCATAAGTATGAACCTCTGTTTCAATTGCCTGAAAGTTGTACCAACAATGTCAATAACCTTGCCAGCCGCACTTAACCTCCCATCCTTCTAAAGAAATGATCTATTCTATAAACAAAACTGAACCACATCTTTCTATAATATATATTTTTTACATTATTATATCTTTCTTTCTTCATAGTAATCATGTGAAAATCAAATGATACAAATTGTAGTTCTGATCAGTATTGTATGATTTTTAGTGCTGAGTGGATAGGTGCACAAGTGCAGTTTCTGCCAAGTGACAGCTTATGTGATGTTGATGGTAATCCTTTTTTTTTTGTGAATGGATTGTTTCTATTGAAGCCCCCACAGCATAATTGATTGATGTGACATGATCACATGAATAGCCTTGAAGGCTTGATGTATTACGTAGATAATAGATTCATTTTTTTCCTAAATGTGTGGCTCATTAGCTTGAAAGCCATATCTTGAAGCACAATAACCAAACTGGGCACAGTGATCTAATACATCATGTATGTATGAATGTTCAATAAAACCACATAGCAAGCCTAATATTCCACATTCAGCTAATTTCTATGTGATTTTTGAGCCAATACAATTGAGTAAAAAGTTGAATTTTCATGGATGGAACATGACTAACATATATGGCAGATTTCCCCAAATCCATGGATATGTTACAATTTAATTTTTATGAGTGATGGTATCTGAAAATATTGGTCAAGTAATTCTTATAATGATAGTGCAAATCCCAACTGTCCAGTAAATAATTTTATGTTGAGATGTTAGCATATATTACTTATGAATGTACATGATTTAGTTACAATTCTAAACTTATGTAGAATTCTGTATCTTCACTTATACCTATTCTCACACAAATCGATGTATTCTAGATATATGCATTCATTTAATCAAATTTCATGCTGACAAACAATCTGGATGGGCAAAAAAGAATTAAAATTCAACAACTGTTGTGAGGCAGGCATATAATTTTCCATTACTAGTATCTTTCCAAGAATTTAAAAGTTGATGAAAGGCCAAACAGACTCACCATACTTTCATTTAAAGCAGTTTGAAGACCAACTCTATTGTCTGCTAAACTGAGAATACATATTTATTCGATGGAATGACTACATGAAAGAGATAAAAACTAAATTCTAAAAAAAGCAAAGGCACCTGTACAAAGACCTAAAAATTAGCAATTTCAATGAGCTTTGATCTGCTAGCAAAGTTTACACGAATTATTGATTAAATATGTGTCAGGATTATTGTATCTGAAGTACTAGAGATGGAGTCTAAAATCGTTTGATTATTCCCGACTGCAGGATGGGGTGGGTGTGCTAGCAGAACTACAGAAGGAAGTTTCAAATTATAGATTTATTTGATATTTTATTTTAGCGAACTTATGATGTAGTTGTTTTGCTGTTTAACTTAAGCTGCTGGTTTGATTATTAATATTTTATCTTTCAATTTGCAGAATAATTTGATGAGATATTGTTTAACTATCATCATATTGCATTGAACCATATATGTGTTTTTTGGGGGCTTTTTATTAACTACAAAATAGCCCTTCAACTTGGTGATGCTGTTTGTGTAATCAAGTGTGTGCTAGTCTTAGGTTATTGTGCACAAGTGCTAGCTTGTTAATTGTTATTGTGTTGATGAGGGTGGTAAGGAGCTGACGAGATGGAGGAGTTCATACCTCTTATGCTCACAACAGACACGCGCAAGAAAATTACCATCGGATGTGATCTGCTCAAGTACATCAGTGATCCAGCCAACTCCATCGAGTGTGATGATATTGGCAGAGTTATTGATGGTATTGTACCATGGATGCAGAATAGCAACTTCAAGGTAAGCTTTGGAACTTCAGTGCTTGTCTAATATTTTAATACATTAGTCCTATGGATAGTTTTATCAAAAATTCTAAATACCTCCTCCTTTTACAACACTTCTCTTTAACTTCACTTCTTGTTTGTCTGTCTGTTTGTCTGTCTGTCTGCTACAAATCTTGTAAACAAAATTTAACACACTTCTACTTATCCTATCAATCTGAAATTTTGCCAACTTGTGTAAAGTTGGAGACAATGCATGAATCAAATGTCAAAATAAATGATTTTAGAAATTAAAAAAATTTTTTTTTTCAATATTAAAAAAATTGAAAAAATAATTTCGTCAGCTACAAATCTTATAACTGATATTTGACACACTTTTACCTGTCTAATTGATCTGAAATATTGCACACTGGTGTGAAATCAGAGGCAATGCACGAATCAATTGACAGAATAAATAATTTTGAAAAAAATGTATATATTAAAAAAATTTTATATATATTTAAAAAATTGAAAAGGTAATTTTTTTAATTTTCGAAAATTAGATGAGAAATTCATTGTACATCTGTAAGATTGGAGATACTGGATTCTTTGGAAGTGTTGTCTTTAAAAAGTAATTTTTAAACGTATATTATTACTATTGTGAACGTGCCAGAATTTCCTTCCATCCATATGTTTCTCTGTGCATTTGCTGCGGGATTTCTCCACAGGATTTTCTTTTCAATTAGGTCCTTATTATACTCAGTAGCAACGCGAGAGTATCACGTCTTCCTTAAGTCAGAACACTGAATATTTTTGATGGCAAACTTGATAAATGTTAAAACATCTATGAATATCGCTTCTTTTTACGATTATTAATTAACTCGATATATGAACGGTTAATGTGGTTGTCGGATGAAACAAAATGCGTGTCGGCGCACGTGGATGCGGTGGGATATGCGAAGGTGAAGGCCGGCTGTGCGGGTGGACGCCTCATCTGTGCCAGCTGGAGCCCCGCCAGACCTGCTCGTGACGGGGTCGTGGCGTCGTTAGTATCGTGCCCAAGACGTCGCCGGACACAAATCCTTTAAATTGCACTGAAAGACCGTAATGCTTATTCACTAATTGGGTCTCAGCAGTGCCACTCATGGATGAGCAATAGATCAAAATTCTATTAGTACCTACTCTAGAAGTCTTAATTCGCAGTTAAGTTCAAATATGTTTAAGAATACCCGATATTCCAGAATCCAGACACTAGGCATGGACTGTTGCCCGTTTTGGCGGTACGATTCTTTTTCTAGCATTAATGCTTTTCTCGACGTTAAGGAATGATTTCTGCTCCCTTGTGTACGAGATGTGAACGAAAGTTGTCTAGGTGTCGCATCGCTATGTCAGCATCGCTAATACTCCGCGCCTGATGCTTGCTGCCGGGTTGCGTTCCAACGGCCCTCTATTTCCGTTGTTGTTCTTGCCGTGCTGAAGAACTTGGTCACAAGCCAGGATTTGTCCTGTGTTCTTTCAGTCAAGAAGGTCGCTAGGTTTACTTCTATGTTTTTTTATTGTCTGGATGCAATCGTTGAAACTTGGTAGACCCATTCACGTGACTTGATCGCGCGTTGTAAGATCTTTGAATGTGTATTTTGTTCTTGCTCATTCTGAATATAATTATGTTTATGGTATGTTTACAGTTTGGTCAAGATATAAATCGACTAACTATGCATGTTAAACAGGCTTGTTTCTCGAGGCTATCTGCTATGTTTTGGTACAATCAAGCTCGCTATAATAGAGCGGAAATTGCGACTCATTGTGTCGTCGCGACGTAGAACCATTCACAACTGACCTGCTACGATTGCTTACAGACTTTCATCAGTAGGAGTCATTTGGTTAGTTACTGTCACCGTACGTCGCATTATTGCATTACTGCCACCTAATGTCAACGCTAGCGCGAGACTTATGTCTCGCTATCACGGAGTGACTGTTGCAATGTTGCTATGAAACGGTTGCAATGTTTCCGCCCTACAATATCGAAAAGAAAACCCTGGCGCTTTATGTGGCTGGTTAATAATACTTTGTTAGTCGACAAAAGATTGGGACACGTAAATATAGTTATCTCTCGGTAAGCGTTACTACTACTAGACCCCTCTTGATGAATATATTTTGCTAAGTAGAGAAAAGATATTTTGTCATGTACTCGATGAGTATTTTAACTTTTAAACCCATCGCCCTTCGTATCGGATGAAGAAAAGTGCTAATAAACTACTGGTCAACAAATTCCGAACAAAGGTCATTTTCCGGAAGAACAGAATATGTTCGATGTTGTCAGCTGAACTCAATATGAACGTGTAGACAAACGACGTGGTCGAAAAGTGCTTTTTAGTCGGCTTCCCATTGTGATTAATGAATGTTTCTGCTTTGATGTTATTTTCTTCTGCTGATGTTAGATTTAAAAGAATGACTTCAAGATAACAAAGAAAATGCTGTTCTTCGCCTGTGAGACTGCTTTGGTAATGTTTCTCGTCAAGTTGACAGCCTAATATTTCCAGCAAGAATCTTCTCAATATTGCCACTGATGCTCATATATAATGAACTCTATTTAATTGCTTTAGAGTAAGCAAATCGTTTCTCTTACTTAGATTGTGAAGGATGTGCTTTTCTGTGGGAGTTTATATCAACCAAATTGATTGGATATCGCCATCATCATATTGACCTAGCGTGTAATTTGTATAATTCATCATGTCATGAAAAGGTCATGTAGATAGTGTGCTTGGAGCTAGAAGGTGTTAGTATTGTTGGCGTGTCGACGACGTGTCTATGTATGGCAATGCAGCCTTTAACAGCAGCAGCAGCAGCCCACTCGCTCACGTAGCTACAGTCGCTGCTGCCTTCATAGTTGGCGCTCAAAGATATGAGCAAGACTTTGTCCAAGTTGTGATGTACATTTTGCCCTTGTGTGGGCCAGCTTGATCCATTTCGGTAAGCCAAATGAGCTTGTCAGTTCTAGAAAGTGTATAACTACTTGGACAACATGACAGTCGTTTTATCTAAGTGTGCACTGATATTAGTCTCGGATGCTATGGTCCTGATCGGACTTATAGCTCTCCGGTCATATGGGGCTCAGACACTATGGAGTATATTAACGAGTATATTATAACGGTAAAATATTTTCTGCTTGAACGAACTGGTTTTTCGTCGATGTCACAGCTGTTAATTCAAGGTTATAACAAGGTTTGGTCGAGGAAAGGCGGCGTTTGTGTTTATTCTTGTATTTGTGGTCGAATTCTCTTGGAAATGGAATAGTTTGGTAATGAAATGTTTTATTTACCGTCATGTTTTTGCTGTATTTGCCTTGTACGAGGTTTGATATTTCTGGTGATTTTCTTCATCTTGGTGGTTTAGAATGAAGTAGTTATCTAAAATTTGAATGTTTTGGAAATCGCCTAAACAATATTACTTTATCCAATTAAATCTTGGTTAAAATATCATATCCTAATTTTATTAAAAATCTATTTATTTTTGCACGGTAGTACACTTGTACCAAATCTCTCTCATCTCAACAATTGAAAACGCACCCTATATGCTGGAATTTCAAGCTGTTCTGCAATTATCTAACCCAGTGAAAACAGAACAATGGAACACACTTGCAGTAGCTCCGTGACGGTGACGTGTAGGCGGTTCAGTGACCTGCATAGTGCATATTTGGCTGCATTAATGTTAGTCTGGTATTGACATGCTCAAGCAGACGCAGGCTACAGACTGTCCGCGTGTAGCTGCTACGGAGCCGCGACTCCAGGAGACCGTATCGATCTTTATGCTTGCCACTACTTCAGAGGCTCACGCCCTTTGCATTTCACGAAACTTGCTGACCGCTTCATAAATCATGGGAGTTATTGAAATGTGGATTGCATGTCTGATTCGGCCATTATTTTGTTTAATGTTGACCTAACAAATTTTCTAGGATCAAAGTAAAAAAAAAAACACAAACAAAAATTCGACAAATGTTCCTCAAAATGGCGAAATTTTTATATTTTTGCACATTTTCGTAGACGTTGATGGATGACTTTTATAATGATGCGAGTTAGACGAGAATAATGTCTGGGATATTTAGGTTTGTGTTGTTATACTTCATCCGAATGATGCTGAAGAATTCATGGTAATCAAGGCAAATTGAACTTATGACATAAGAAAGTGAAGTCTTGCGATGTTTTTCGTTTGATAGTAAATCTGACAGTTAATGTCGTGTTCAGCATATTATCAACAATTTCTTTCTATTTTAATCTCAGGTTACAGTACATTGTTGACAAGAGATTTCTAACCTCGTATCGTAAGGGTATTTTTTTACAATCGATATCGACATCGACGGGCGCTGAAAAATGTATGTGTAGAACGGTAAAACGTGTGAATTTAGACTTTTAGAGTGTAAAATGCTAGTAAATTGTCCGCCCGCTGGTGATGGGCCTGATGGAAGAGACTTGCTTACCACCAGACATCTAACGTTGAGATTACTTTGATCAAACGTTGTTTTTAACGAAATCAACTCGTTTTCAACGTGATTTGCCTGGAGGGTTGCCCGAGGCTCATGACACGCGTGCTGCGGTTGCTGGCCGCCATAGCCGCGCTGCGTGCCGGATGACACCCGCCTCACTCACAGAAATGAGTGAGACTTTGTCTTAATTACAACGCACTTTTCTACTATTTGCCTGTCAAACGGGCGTATCAGTGCTAAGCTTTTTCCTCATTCTTGGAGTAAAACAGTGTGTCTCTATTTGGACAATATGAGCCATTTATTTTTGTGACGGGACCTTCAATGAATGATGGCGCACGACTCATCTGTTCCTGACGCCTCATGACAGGCATTTGATTGTCATGGATCACGACAACACCTGTTGGCATATTCATGCAAAACTCCGTTTTTTTTTTGTATGACAAGCTCGATCTTGATCGTTCCAGTGTTTCAGTTTTATTTATCAATGCTCACTTGCGATGGTTATGCTAATAATCATAATTTAACTTTTCTGTTGTGGAAAAGTCCATCATAACGCAATA